TTTTTCGGGGAGGGCTCCCCTACTAGAATAGACTACAGAAAAAGGGTACCCCTATTCTAACCTCTCTACTGGAGCCAAAACAAGACGTTGACAAGTCCTTCTCACTTCCTGAGTTCATGAACTTTAGTCACTTTTGGCGGGGTTTGGACCCTGTTAGTGGAACACCAAGCCTACTTAAGGGGGCAGGGCACTTGGTAAGTGGTTAGTACCCATGGTTATACCCCACTGAACGGAGACTTACAACTATGGCTTTGGTGGGTTATTTCACCATGGTTACTCACCACTTACCTGACGTGCCCGATCGCCCCTTTAAGTGCTAACCAAAAGCCATAGAAATATCCTTGAACCACACCCAAAGCCGCAAATTTATGGGGGTACTTACGGTGGATGGACGAAATCCTGCACCACTTTGAAACGATGGTTGAAACCATTGGTTGTTGGTATTTACAGGGGAATCGAATCAATCTATGGTTTCTTGGGTGGTGCGAAATGGATATCGTCCAGTAGGAGTCCTTCTCGGCAACTAGCTGGATTGGTTGGTAGATGGTTGAACTAGGAAAACCAGGAACCGCCCTCTAAGACTCTATTTTTCAACCCAACAATGTTTGAGCCCCGGAAGGTCCAGGTATGGGGGTACTTAGGACCTGGTGCATTTTTCTTGGATGTTAGGACTTTGACTTGTTGCCAACTAATGGGGAGCAGAAAGCAACCGAGCTTAGCACCTGGGTACCTGACGTGCCGAATCGATCGCCCCGGTGTCGTGTGGCCTCTCTCGTTGAGGCCTGCGTGGTGGGCGGGGGCGTGCTGGGCTGCGCGGTGGCACGAGAGCTGCAGCGACGGGGCCGGCAGACACTGCTGCTGGAGAGATTTTCGAGTCGAATTCTTCCCTGGGTTTGTAGAGCTTTTTCAGAAAGAAGCATTCCTGGAAAGAATGGACATGGAAGGTGCCCCTTTTTTGGGAGTTGGCCCATTCAGAGCTTCAGGGGTGATGTTTTGCGAGCTCCCCCAGGCAAGGTGCCTTTTCTCACCCAACTTTTTGGTTGGAGGGTTCCCCTACTAAAATAGACTACAGAAAAACGGGTACCTGGAATCTCCATGACCCTTTAAAAATAGGTCCATGACCCCATTATTTAGGGCAATGACCCCATTTTTAAAGGGTCATGGAGACTCTAGGTATAAGTGGTACTGTTTTCTTGCAGCAAGCAATAAAAGTCATAGTGCAAAAGAGCATAAGTGGAGTGCATGGTTCACGACAATTGTTTCTAGGTCCCCCAGGCAACGTGCCCTTCTTAACATTTTTTTTGGTTGGGAGGGTTCCCCTACTTAAATAGACAACAGAAAAAAGAAACGGTAGCCTTATTCTTACCTCTCCGCTGGAGGACTGGCGCCCCCGGAATTTGGTTTAATCATGGGGTTTAGTGGGAACCCAGGGAAAATCCCCTTAAGGCAGTTGGAGTTTTTTTTTTGGGGTGGGGTTTAGTATTCCAGTCGAGCACGGGAAATCCTCAAAAGGCTTTTTAGATTTGTTTCGTGGGTTTAGTGGGAATTTCCCTAACAGTTGAACTGGGGATATGAGTCGAGCACTTCCCTTGAACTGTCAAAGCCATACGGTTCCTTAGTTTTTTGGTGAAAGGTGGTTGGGTTTCCGTATTAACCCACAAGTTATTCACTTTTTGCCGAACATATGAGGGCAGCCCAGTTCCATTTGCTGAAGTGAATCTGTTTGATTTGTCCCTGTAGGTTTTAAATGGAATCGATTTCACTACTGGAAGTATTGCTCTTGTTTGTCCAGGGGACTCAAGCAAATGGAGGCACACAAGGGCGAGACATGCGAGGGTTGGGCACACTTCCCCGGTCCCAAGTTGACTGCTTTTTCAGCCATGTCCAAAATCGCCTTGCTATTGTCCGAAAATTCGTGGTTGGGGGCTGCTGGGTTTGGAGTCGAGTGCTGCGAAATGATCTCGAGATGTGTGCGGCACAGAAGGTGCATCAACAGTTGTCCCTGATGCCCTTTCGGTCTTCGGCTGTCGTGTGTCGGGGGGAAGGTGCAAGTTGTTTTTGTTTGTGGGCGGTGTGTTTTTGGGGTTGGGCGCCCTTAGCCCAAAGCAATGGAGCACCCGTCCCGGACTCCAGCCAGGAGTCTTCAGACAATGGGGTTTTCCCGCAGGTACTTGTGGGTAAGAAGGGCTGAATCAGTATAGATAGGGGTGTGCATATTTGGGGTGGGGGGGAGAGGTTGGGGGGGGGGGACCTTTTAAACTGGGTGTCCTTTGGTGCATTTTGCTTGGATGTTAAGACTTTTTCTGTTTGCCAACTAATGGGTTTTCCGTATTAAATCACCAAAAGTTAAGCTTTTAGCAGGGGAGCAGAAAGCCGAACCCAAAACCCTCAAACTCCCAAACCCTAAACCGCAAAACCCCCCAACCACCCAACCCCCAAGCCCCAGCCCCCAACCCCACAGCCCCCCCACCCAAGGTTTCAAGAATCAACGCCGCAGTTCGATTCGGCAGGAGAAGCACACGGTGGGCAGCGGGGTGAGTGCCGGCAACACAGGTATCGCCTGCACGCTCATGGGAGTTGCAAAGGACTGAGAGCGAAAAGTCACTGGAGTCTGCTCAAAACCCGGGCAAGTCGGATATCCGCCTTCGAACAAATTACATGCTTCTGGGTCGACCATTCTAATACCGGGTTTTGATTATGACTCAGTTTGCTCCTGTCAGAACCCGATTGTCAGTGGAACTCACTTTCTGAGTTTCATTTCGGACTTTGAGCTTCTTGGGAAGATCAGTTAAGTAGTAGACAGAAAGTTTGTTTTGTTTTTGTCAGTCCACTCAGGAAGTGAGTTGTGTGACTAGGTGAGCTCTAATCGAAAGCGTGTTTGTTCCCATACGCCTGAAAAGCATCAAATTGGCAGTTTGTTGGCGATTGGGTTTAGAGCATTTGGATAGACCGCGTGATGGTGGACAAAGGAAGGGTAGCTGCGTGGAGTTTCAGAGGGTTGAAAATAGGAGGGCATTTACTTTGTTTTGGCTTGGCAGGGTTCAGTTGCATAGATATTGCGCGAGTCCATTGCAACATGCGGCTGAATCTTCCCCTTGCAATGTGCGCATGTGTCTTTTTTTGCGGGTGCCTTTTTTGGGTGTGTTGAAAGGCAAGCCAAAACGAAAACAGTACTTATTGTACGTGTTTAGGTATGTTTTATATTATTTATTTCTTCTGCCGAGGGGGGGGCGGGGGGGCTCTCCTAAAACAGATCGAGAGACGATTCATGGCCGAATATAGCAGGACACGGTGGAAAGGAAGTGCCTAGAGCTGGGAAGGCCTCAGCCGCCCGGCAGTGGATTGGCTTCCTGTTTTTGGGCTTCTTGTTTTGTTTTTTGTCGTGGACAAATATTTATCCGCAGGGTTTCAGGGGGTTTCTACTATAGTCCTCGTCCATGGGGTTCCCCTTTGCTGGTTGCAAGAACCGCCAAGCTCGTACTCTGCCGAGGAAGGAATTAATATGGAATCGCTCAAGGCATCGTCAATGCAAATTTTAAAGGTATAATTCGAATTACAGCTTTGGGTTTATAATCGAACGACCGGAAGTGCTGAAAGTACCCCCAAATACGGGCTGTCAGGAGTCTAGTAATTATTGGTTCAGTATTGAATGAACTAGAAGAGGTGATTTTTGGATTTTGGCCCGAAACGCATCTAGGTCCCCCAGTAGTGCCCTTTTACCGTTTGTTGCGGGGAGGGTTCCGAAGTTCCCCTACCAAAATAGGCTACAGAAAAAGTTAGTACCCTTATTCTTACCTCTTTGCTGGAGGGCCTAGACATATTTATGAATAGAGCACACATATTTATGAATACCTGGAGTCTCCATGACCCTTTAAACATAGGTCCATGACCAACCATTATTTAGGGTAATGACCCATTTTTAGGCCCTTCTGTTTTTAAAAGGGTCAGAAGGAGACTCTAGGTAGGGCCCTCCAATCACATTTGAGTGCACGGGGTTGGAGGACAAGCACTCTGCGTCACCGAGTTTTGTTCTTTTGGACAGCAGGAGACACGTTTTTGTTGGTGAATCGGCACGGCCCAAATGGCTGGGTCGCTTGGCTTGCTTTTTGGTCTCTCGCATCAAACTGTCAGACCCAAGATATGGCGGAGTCTTATCTCGAGGCTGCTGGGGGAGGCATCATTCGGACAGGATGACGCTTGTGCCGGGCTACCATTCTGCACATGTAGAGTCTCCTTCTGACCCCTAGACAAAGGGGTCTGTTAACCCCGGAAAAAAAATTGTCCGGGTCAGTTAACCCCAGAAAAAAACATGGTAATGACCAACCTTTTTTAAAGGGTCAGAGGGAGACTCCAGGTGGCTCAGCTTTGCGGGGCTTGCACGTCCAGGGAATCGCTTGCGCAGCTGATCGGATCTTGCACCGTCTGCGCCTAGACTCCACTGGCAGCCACAAACACGGCGAGCAGAGTTGTTCGAAATACGCCTACCCCCTACTCCAAATACCCACTTTTGTAGGGTATTTTTTGGAAACCTGGTTTTCCGTGGTAAATACCTCCTTTTTTAGTAGAGGGTTTACATGATACCCTAAAAAAAGTGGGTATTGGGTGTAAGGGGTATCTAGAGCCTCCCTCTGACCCTTTAATAATGGTTGGTCATTACCTCAAATTAAGCTCTTTTTTTCTGGGGGTCATGGAGACTCTAGGTAGACTAATCCACTCGCAGCTGCAAAGACGGCAAGCGGAGTTGTTCGAAATCGAGCCAGCGTGGGTATTGTCAGTTTTCGCACATCAAGTTTGCTATGGCAGAGCTACGTGAGCAAGACAGGCTCGATGATTTGGGGCATTTGCAGCCCGTATGGTGAGAGTTGTCAAAGTAGACACGCCGTGAAAATAACAAGTGCCTCAGAGAGAAGCAAAGTGAGTTGAGTGTAGGTTGAGTCAATGAGTAAAGACATAAGTTCGACCATCGGGCCATTTCTCCTGGGTTTCCGAGCCATTTCCCCAGCAGCACCTCCAGTGGGCGATTTTAATGGGACCCAGGAAAATCACATCAACTTGTTTTTCAGGGGGAGGCGTTCCGGGGAGCCCTGGCTTAAATCAAGGCCTACTTGAAGGCACAAAAGCGGTCACAGGGTTTGCCATGGAGCCTGGGTGAATCATAACGACCTCACACGACCGAATTCACCCCAAATGGTGGTTTATGTGGGGAATAGCCCCCCAGGCGCAAGTTTCAGGCTGGTGAAATATTATAATTCACCCAGATGTTTGCCATACGCGTGCTCAGGAACCTTTCGACCTACCGGAGCCTGGGCATCCCGCACAAGGCCACAGGAGCTCTTTATGCCGCTTGCTCTTCGGAAGCGGCGTGTTCTTCGGATGTGCCTTCTAGGTCCCCCAGCCCAATTTCCCTTTCACCATTTTTTTTTTGGTTGGGAGGGTTCAATTCCCTACTAAAATAGACGACAGAAGAAAACAAGTGGGTACCAACTGATTCTGACCTCTCAAATCTGGAGGACCTCTTCCCAGAGAGTCCCTACCTCCTGAGGATGGCTGAAAACGGGGGTAAGAAGGGGTCGTTCAGTATCTTCTTAGAAGGTACCAAGGGACCCTCTGGGCTTGATATGGGTATGGGGGCAAAATGAAGTCACGAATTCATCATTTAGTGCTTGTTTCCAAGTGCCAGGGCAACCGATTTTGGATTTCCCTGATTCTTGAGAACCACACCCATGTATGCTTTGGCCGAAGCAATCTCGTCGACTTCCCCTGGGCTCTCAAGGCATGTGCTCAGAGGTGCCCCTAGAACTGAAAAAGGCCATTGATGCCATTCGTCCCCATTCAGAGTCCGGGAAACGGTTCTACTTGGGGCCCTCGACAATAGGATTCGAGGCAACTCCCTTTGTTGACCGAATCCTCTGTCTCTGCCTTCGACCCACTTAACAAAGTGGTTGAAACAAAGGCTGAAACAAGGAATCGGTCGACAAAGGGGGTCCACCTGGACCCTGAAACTACCCTTAAAAATGGATTTTCACTAAGCACAATCTTGGGGCCCATTTGCTAAGTTGGATTTTTACGAGGGTGCCGGCAGGTGAAAAAGGCAACCCCCCATTGATCCTTGGGTTGGACAGGGGTCCCGAATCATTTCTCTTTTTGGTGGTTTCAGGCTCACCATCTTCTTGGCTCATGGTTCGGGGAGTGTCTTGCCCTTGGGGGGTGATGTTTTAGGCTTGAGTCCAACCATTCTTTTCAAGCATCCTTCTTTGCAAACACCGATGGCCGGTTTGCCTGGATTTCTGGAGCTTTTCCAGAAAGATTCGGATTGGAAAGAACCCATGGCTCGGAGAGTGTCCCTTGGGCGGTGATGTTCTGAGCCCAGAGGGTCCCGGACGGTACGTCATGAGGATGGCTGAAAAGGGGGGTCAAAAAGGGGTCGTTCAGTAGCTCCAAAGGTGCCAAGGGACCCTCTGGGTGGGTGTTCCCTCCAAAAGTGGCCTGAATCCCCACTAAAAGGAATTCCTCAGAGGGTACCAAGGGACCCGAGGTCAGTAGTCTCCTTCGCCTCTGCGCCAAGACTGAAGTCAGCCTTCATTTTCAAGGGACCCTTTGGGAAGGGGGAGCCTTTGGGATTTAAACACACTTGCGACTTTGAGATTGATTGGCCCATGTGGAGCGCGTTTTTTTTTGTTGGGGGGGGTGATGTTTGTGTTTTCGTTTTTTTTCTTTTTGTTTTTCTCCGGGAAACGAATCTCGGGAGATGCGAGTCACGGCCGAGGTGGCCTGGACCACAGCGGAGCTGACTGAGCTGGCCGCCCTCCAGGACCTGGAGGCGCGCTCGAAATTCTGAAGCCGAAGCGGAAGCGGCGGCTGGAGGTTTTTCGGCGGGGGAAAGAACCGGCCGGCCGGCTCAACCTGAGTGGCAGCGACCTGGACCCGAAAAAACGAACTCAGAAAGAAGAATCGGAGTCGCCGACCACGACTTTTGGGTTGCGAGAACCCGTTTGTTTGGCTGGAATCTTGAGGGTTCTGCTAGTTGTTTTGTCTTTTCATGAGAAACCACCTCAAAAGTGGTTGGTTGACATGATGTCCAGCAGAGGGTCCCTACTTAAGATTTATGCCGAATTGGGCGTAGTGTGGTGGATTGTTTGAAATGTCTCAACAATTCAGTTGCAAGCAACCGCATTGCGATATTTTGTGGCAACGTAGTCTGATCCTTTGTTCCGGCCTTTCTTTGCCGTCGCTTTAGCTGTGGCGATCGTCTCGTGAGATGCCAATTCCTGGAACAACCTATTCCCACAACATTTGTATTGTAGATGCCCACTGCATTTGGCGTCTCTTGTTGCGGGCAGGTGCCAGTATCATTCAGAGTGCTGCCTGGTGCCACTGATTGCCCCCGTGTGTGGAGCCGGTGTTCCAACATCTTCAGCGCTCTTTGGTTATTGAGCATGTCCTTTTTGGTGGTTTTGCTCGAAAAATCGATGGGTTTCGATTCCTGGTTGAAGCCTGGTGGTTTTTTTCACATCTACCAGGGAAATCCGAATCTATTTCCCCTACCTCTGGAATTGAGAGCAATTTGGAGCTTGGTGAAGAGTTGATCCTTCTTTCCACATTCGGTTGTTCCAGGGCACATCAAGCTGTGTTCTTCCCCACAACTAGTTCATTGTTTTTTTTGGTTCCCTTTTTTGGAGTCCCCTTTGTTTTCCTCTAACCAGGCAAACAATGACAGATTTTGCTGGGGTCCTAGTTTCACCAGGCCAAACAAAATCAATAGTTGTTTGCTGGGGTCCTAGTTCCAAGGCAAAAGGACCATGACAGAGTGTAGCTTACAGCATTGACTCACTTCCGGAACTCCCCTTTTTGGATGTGGACCATACTTGGTGGTCCGGTTCTTTGGCCTTGAAGGCTTTTAGGGTTTAGTGGTAGCTTCCATTTGGCCCACTAAAGCATGGTTGTTGTTGGGAAACATTTTACATTGTTGCCTATTGTGGTTTAGTGGGACATCCTCACTTAACTGCTAAAAATTAATTGTTTGCTCCCCTTCAGTCAACCAAGAAAAGAAAGTTAAACTTTTAGCAGGGCATCTCAAAACGGGCAGCCCAGTTTAGGGGTAAATATAGAAAAGCTTTGACTTGTTTGAGCCACTCGGGGAGTGAGGTTTCTGTGCTTGGCCGCGAGTGAATTGCTCAGCTGCAGGATGACTGCCGCTTTGTGCAAAAGGAGGACTGTGCGATCGATGCGGGGTTTAATAGAGCCAGGAGTATGTTCGTGATCGCTTCATGGTTCTGCTTAAGCTTGATCCCTGGTTTGATGGCTTGTGTGAATCTTTCAGAGCACTTTTGCAGCAGTCTCAAGGGATCCAGAGATTTTCAGATCCAAGAAGCCTGTACAGATTCACTTCCGTTGATGTGTGCCTAGCTATGTGCTACTATACTGCTGCCTCTACTATAATCTTACCTCTTAAAAACACAACTTTTCAACGTTTTGGGTAACATGGGCTATATATCTGCAAAATATTATCTTCCCCAGGGCTTGGAGTTTTAAGGGGTAAGTACAACCCCGCGCCAAGATGGCCCAAGATGCGCCCAAGAAGGCCGCCAGATAGCCACCTCACAGAACCAAGAAGGGGTCTTCCTCTAAGAAGCCACCGGCCCAGGTGCGAGGAAAAGCTTCAAAGAGTTGGGTTACAAGAATTCCTACTGGAAAACAGCTGATTTCGGGTGTTTTGGAGCCATGTCCTGTAGATTCTCCTTTGACGAAACCCTTTGAGGACTTGAAGACCTGGATCACGAGGGCTTGCCAGTTCCAGCGCAAGCAAGCACAGATTGTGGGCATGTGATTCTGAGGAGTTACTGGGATATTGCCAGCCCTACAGTAGAAGGCACACACAAATACTGCGGATGGTTGCGAAATATTCATTTCGCACCACTTTGAAACCATGGTAAACCATTGTCTGTTGGTATTTACATGGGAATCATCGTTCTAGGGTTTCTTATGTGGTGCAGGATTTCGTCCATTCACAGTATGATATGATGGACTGTACAAGTTCTTGCGTTCTCTGGCCCCGTACCTGTGCCAACAATGCGATGCAACCTTAGCCCTATTTAGCTCAAGCTTGTTTTGTGCCAACTTCATCACGACACTTGCGAAGGCATGTGGTTACGTGTGGATCGTCTGCTCCTTGCGGGCATTGTCGTCAGCTCCGCCGAGCGTGCGGCTCGTGGGCACCAGGGTGTAATGAGCACGGCAGGTGATGTGCAAAGCAGAAAGACCAACACGACAGACACAGGACCCTGCAAAGGTCATTTCGTGAAGAGGTGCGGTGAGAGCTGCGACACTGAAGCTTATGTGGATGCAGCCCCTACTGGGCTCGCAGTACTCGTGACGGCGGAGCATAGATTCAAAGAGTGTGGTGGAAGGGGGTGCAAGCAGCCAAAGACTACGTGTGAGGCGAAAAGCATTCATTGTTGCTTCAGGTCAGGGTTGGCCAAAACAGATGGTGTTCACTTTGTCTGTTTGTGTTGTTCGTTTTATCTTTGATGTTGTTGTTCTGTGCTTTTTATCGCCTTTCGAGCCGAAGGAGAGAGGAGGGAGCATTCCCGCTTTTTTTTGTTTCTAGTATTCCCTCATGAGGCTGGCTTTTGGCGGGCAAAAAGGGGTCGTTCAGTACCTCCTTAGAAGGTACTTGAACCCTCTGTGATTGTTATAAACAGGCCAATTCCAAGAACGACCGCTCGGGCCACGCTTCGGCCAAGCTGTGAGGTGCGGAGGTATCCCTCGGAGCGGGAAGGCGTTCCCTCAGATGTACACCGACATCATGACATACAGCGACTGCGATGCTTGCTTGAAGCGCGCGCGCAGAGATTGCCGCCACGAGAGCTTCATGAAGGACATGGGATTCAGTTGCCACCATTCAAAGAATGGGGCCGAGAATCGAACCACCGTTGTATTAGTCTTCAGGATTGTCATCCAAATTAGGTCAACCAAGCCACGTGCTCAAAACCCGGGTAGATGCAGGTTAGGGACAATCCCAGCCATGAATGGTGTCGGCCGGCTTTGTATTTCCTGAAGCATGTTTCTGTGTCAACCATTTTAATGCCGGGTTGTGATTGTGACTCAAGTAACCATTTTTAGTTGGTGGTTTGGATTTTCGTGGCTTTGGGAATTGGAAGCCATCCAAACAATCCTTTAGTAATATCGATTGGTGGCCTGGGAAACTGGAAGCCAAACCACGAATTGGTTGAAGGACATGGAGGATGAGTTATTCGAGAAGAACGTGGAGTATGTTGTCGCATACTCGGTCACCCGCAGCGCGAACCCTACCGATTTGCTCTTCCACCGTTCCGAATGCCCGTCTTCGGACTGGAACGACCTGCACAGCGATCAGCTCTGCAAGGGTGAGACCGATTGGGGGCTTTGAGGGCCGCGATTAGATGTTTCGGTTCCTAGGTCCCCCAGCAATTGGTGCCCTTTCTCACCCGTTTCTTTTTTTGGGCTTCCCCTACTAAAATAGACTACAAAAAAAAAACACAAGGTACCTTTGTTCTAACTTCTCCACTGGAGGACCTAGGTTCCGTGGTAGCCGTCTCCGTCGAGGAGGCACGCTGGACGTGTGCTCGTTCGAAAGAACAGGCTCGCTCTATGATGAAATGCGGATTCACATGGCATCCTTCCTTGAGTATTCTACTACCTGGCCCCTCAAACTCAAATAAATATGGGCTACCCCCAAATTTATGGGGTGAATGCCCAATTGTGATGGGTAGTTTCAGGGTCAAGGTACATTCTTGTCCATATGTTGCTAGGCATGCAAGTCTCCACGCCAGCGGAAGCCGCATAGACTCCACATCTATGTCATAACGAATTCACATCTTACTATCCTGCATGGTCAAAGAAGTATCACCGCTCCCTTCTTCCTGTGTTATGTGTTTGAGTCTACCTGCACCCTCATAAAATTCCAACTGAAACATGTGTTATTTTCCTGCATAATTGGTTGGTGGTGAGATGCCTCACACCACCAATAAACAGAAAAGGAATTCACCAACCATCATTTTGGGTTGCTATAATCCATTAAGTTGGAATGACCCGCATAAAGATTCAACTCTTGAACATGTGTTATAGCCCCTCAAAATTCCCATAACAATTGGTGCTTGCTCAACATTATGGGATGAATTCCTCAAACTACGCATAAAAAGGGGAATTACCAACCATCACTTTGCATTGCAATTGCCCATTAAATTGGAATAACCCAAAAACAAACTTTAAACTTTGGTTATTGCCCCTCAAGAATCTCCAACAATTTGTGATTGCTCAAAATTATGGGGTGACTTCCTCAAACTACCCAAAAAAGAAACGGAATTCACCAACCATCACTCTGGGCTGCAACAACCAATTAAGTTGGAATGACCCTCATAAAATTTCAACTCGTACACATGCCTTATAGCCTCTGAACAATCCCTGAACAATTGGTGATTGCCCAAAATTATGGAGTGAGTTCCTCAAACCACCCATAAAAACAAGGAATTCACCAACCATCCCTTTGGGTTGCAATCACCCATTAAGTTGGAATGACCCTCTTTAAAATTTCAACTCGTAAACATGCCTTATAGCCTCTGAAAAATCCTTGAACAATTGGCGATTGCCCCAAAGTTATGGTTGGTGAGTTCCTCAAACTACCTTTTAAAAAAATGGAGTTCACCCATTAAGTTAGAATGACCCTCTTAAAATGTCAACTCTTAAACATGTCTGATCGCCATCGTTTTGGGTTGCAATAACCCATAGTTTTGGACCAAATCCTGTGGATGGACGAAATCCTGCACACACTTTGAAACCATGGGACACCATTGTTTGTTGGTATTTTTGTTTACAGGGGAATCATCATTCTAGGGTTTCTTGGGTGGTGCGAAATGGATTTCGTCCATCCACAGTAGGAGTCCTTCTCGGCAACTAGCTGGACTGGTTGGCAGATGGAACTAGCAAAACCAGGAACCGCCCTCTACGACACGATTTTTCAACCAAAAAGGGCACCAACAAGTCTTATAGCCATACCTAGACTCTCCATGCCCCGAACTAAAAATGAGTCCAGCCCATGATTTAGGGTCACCAACCATTTTTGATTCGGGTCAGAAGGAGACTCCAGGTACAGAAAAAAGTTGGGTCACCTTGTTCTAAGCTCTCTACTGGAGGGCCTCCGTTCGTTGGTACGTTCAGCGGGCATCGCCCGCTTTTTTTTTTTTTTTTTTTTTTTTTTTTTTTTTCGGGGGGAGGAGTCGGCTAGGAGCTGCAGCAGCTGGAGCCGTGCCTGGCGCCCGCGTGCGGCGCGGTGCTGGTGCCGCTCGGGCGCGGACCGGCGGAGGGCCCCCAGCAATTGGTGCAATTCCTTCTCAGTGGTTCAGTGACACGACTTTTTTTTTAGGCTGCTGCACTAAGAATGGTCCAAGCCCCAAAAAGGGTTCCCTTTTTTCCCAGGGTCACTGAACAACTGAGCCTTTCTCACAATTGTTTCTTTTTTGGTTGCCCAGAGGCTCCCGATTGATTTAGGGCCTTCAAATAACCTGGTTTTGAGACCCCCAACCAGCTCCGGGTGGCTAATGGAGGGTTCAGGTCTTCCATTGAAAGCCCCAGGAGCCTCTTGGGTTGGGAGAAAATCCCCTAAAATAGACGACAGAAAAAAGTTGGTACCCTGATTCTAACCTCTCTACTGGAGGACCTAGGAGCGTACGGGACGGTTCAGGTGTCCCCATGGCTGTTTTGTGTTTCCGTTTATCGGTTTGGGTTTGAGCCACAAGTCACCCACACCTTAGACTGGTTATGTGCTGAAAGGGATGTTTGTGAACTCGACATTTTTTGAAATGGAATTATGTTTCGCTTTTTCTGGAATGAGCATTTTTTCCGTTTTGGGTTTTCAGGGGATAGATGAATCTGTTCACGTATTTGCTCCAGCCCCAGGAGCCAAGTCGGGCCTTGAACTCCCCAGCAAGGGCCCCAAATCGTGAGGTCCAAGGGGCTTCTCGGGAAGGATATGCTTCAGGTTTTCCGTTTTGGGTTTATTAGGGTGTTGTTTTTTATGTGCTGAAATGTGTTTTTGTTGTCCGTTTTGGGTTTAGAGGGAATTGATGAATCACTACTGGACATACTGTGGATGGACAAAATCCATTTCGCACCACCGTTCAGAAACTCTGGAAGGATGATTCCCCTGCAAATACCAACAAACAAATGGTTTCCCATGGTTTCAAAGTGGTGCGAAATGGATGTTGTCCACCCACAGCATGCTCGCCATTTTTTCCAACAATGCGCCTATCCGCGATGGAAGCCTGCAACACCTGAAGGGATGCGGCGTTTTTTCGGCACCTTACCCGGCAATTGGAAGATGCGACACACACCAGTCATTGCAGTGGAAAAGATTTTGGCTCCGCACAGTTGGGCTGGCGAGATGGGACCACCATTTCCCACGGAAAGGGGAGCGAGCCGCAGTCTGCTGCGTTCGTTGGGAGGGTTTTGAGCGCTACCTGGCGCTCAAGTTCAATCGCAAGAAGAGGACCCCCTGAAACGTGGTTGGTGCACAGAAGTCCTCACAAACAAACAAACAAACAAACAAAAGTCAAGAAAGGTACCTAATTGATGTCCACCGGTGGGCCCCCAATGAAAATTCTGCCATGGCCCACCCAGCTGTTCAGTAATACCGTTGGTTGAAGCTCACTTGCCCAGAGCCGACCTTTCGATCTTTTGGTTTTCCTGTTTTGGCCCATGTTTCGTGGCGATCACCTTTTATTCCTGGGTATGGGCAACTGAAAAAGGGTTCCCCACGAAAATCTGGGCGGTTCCCAGCCATTTCAGCCCTTTTAGAGTCTAGCGGGGGTGTCCCTTTAACCCCCAAGCTGAACTCCTGGCAGAGGATCTGCGCAAAGCCCAGAGATGATCCATCCAAGGCTGGGATTACGCCCTTTGCCGATCCATGCCGTTGCAGCCCAAAATGATGGGTGAATTCAACCACTTGCAGCGGCAGTTTCTTCGCGTTCTGGCGGTATTAGTTTTTCCGTTCAGAGGGCTCTTTCACCAGACTTACTGTCACTACTTCCCTGCCCAGAGGCTCCAATTCGATTGATTTAGGGCCTTCAAATCACCAGGGTTTTGAGACCGGGTCCCAACCACCGATTCCCGGGGTGTCTGATGCTTCGGGCTCGGGTCTTCCATTGAAAGCCGAAGCCGATCGGAGCCTCTGGGTGACGAGTGTTTTTCATCGCCCCTGGATTTTTTTTCGCGTCGCTTGGAGTTCAGGGACCCGCCGGCCTTTTTTTTTTTCCCCCGAAGCTGACGGAGCTGAGGTTGGTGAACTCATCCATGTCTAGTGCTTGTTTCATCCGTTTTTCCGGCGGCGCTTTTTTGTTGTTGTTGTTCTGTTTCTTCGCAGCTGAGGTTTTTGCCCAAGTGGGAAAGGTTACCCAGTTTCTTACCCAACATGGATGGTGAAATCCCTATGTTGTAATTTTATTCTCCGGGTTTTGCTCTTGTTGTTTTTCTTGGAAGCTGAGAAACCATTTAACTAGTGGTCGTCTCATGCGCGTCCGTTGTGGCGGCGGTTGTTTTTTCGGTTTCTTCGCCGCTGAGGTCCGGGGAGGTCACTGTGGACCCAGGCTTAGTGCCTCTGGCTTTGGCCTTGGATGCGGAGCGCCGGGGCGCCAGGGTGCAGCAGCACCGGGAGGCGGGGCTTCGGCGCGTTCGGGACCCACCTGGTCCACTAGACCCACCTGGCTATCTAGGTGGTTGGTGGAGTGAAAGCTTCACCTGCCACTTGCGGGGACCTCGAGTCTCCTTCTGACCCGAAATGAAAATAGGTCCATGAGCAACCATGATTTAGGGGAATGAGCAACCATTTTTGATTCGGGTCATGGAGACTCTAGGTCCTCGTTTCTGCGGCGAAAGGAGCCATAGATTGGTACGGCAGGACATGAGACCTCTTAGGGTTAGGGGGTGTTTTTTTGGCTGGATGTTTTTGAAGGTTGGTGGTTTTGGATGGACAAGACACATTCCATTTGTTGAACACCATCACGTTTCTTGGTGCAAAAGAGGTTTCGGTTCATCATTCGGTTGGGTTCTTGCACTGTGCGAAAGGGATTCCACTGTATGAATCAACCAGGACTACGTGGACCCGTGGTTTTTTTTGAGGATACCTAGAGTCTCCTTCTGACCCTTTATAAATGGTTGGCCATTTCATTACCCTAAATAATGGGGTCATGGACCTATTTGTATTTCGGGTCATGGAGACTCCAGGTACGCTTAAAGATGGGTGTCCCTTTTGTGGCGCCAGGTGATCGACGCGCGGACGGATGGGGAGTCCTGGATCTTGGAGAAGCTCGGCGTGAAGCTGGAGGGGGTGGGTGGTGTTTTTTTGGCCCCCTCAACCAAAAAGACATCATGGTGTTCATGTTGGTTCCCTTGAAAACCACCAAAAACGGGGAGGGTGCCCGAACAAGAGACAGACCCGCAGAAAGTGTTGTGGACTTTATTTGGTCGCGCGGGACCTTCTGGACACTCCCTTGGGGGTTGACAAAGTAAGGTTGACCGTTATACATTAAACAGCCCCAGTTTATCAATAGGGGGGGTGTCCCTGGGTTTAGTGGAGAATCATCACTTTAGGAGGGGCCCTACCCCCTTATCAATAGGCCGTGGTTGATTAATATGGGGTTGATCAATATTCCTTTCGGCCACCTGTTTTGACTATGGGTAGCTTTTCTTCCATTTAATTTACTGTCATATCTTCTAGGTCCCCCAGTAGTGCCCTTTTACCCTTTTTGGGGGAGGGTTCCCTTTCTAAAATAGACTACAAAAAAAAAAGAAGAGAAGCAAAAATAATAAATTCCCATCAGGCACTTACCTTTTCTAAAAATCAAAGCGGACAGAGGGTGTTCGAAGATGAGCGTCTGCCATGTCCCAGCCACACCGTCCGACTTTGAGCGACTTTAGAGGGTTTGAAGAAATTTCCGGACTCCCATTAACCAAGTGGCACACAGGCTGGGAAAGGGAGTGCTTTGGGGGTCCAGGTATATCCCATTGACAGTTCAAGTTATTCTGTTCGGGGGGATCAAGCAATCACTAAGCCCCATACTGCTTAAGGTATCCCTGTTGGCAGCATCCGCGCACCTGTCCATGCGACGGACGGCGCTCCAAGGTTAAGGGACGGCGGGCAGGTGGTGGCAGATCAGGTCGTGCACTGCGGAGGCGAGGCTTCACTCTGCTTGGATGTTCGGAGAAGTTCGTAAGCGGCTACCTGGAGTCTCCACGACCCAATTTAATGGGGTCATGGACCCATTTTTAAATGGAGACTCTAAAGGGTCATGGAGACGGGTTCGGAACAGTTAGTAAGTGGTAAAGCCACCTGGGATAGAAACCGCCAATGACAGGGTCAAATCCACGCGGGAACCTATAAGTGGCTAGCCCAGGTTTGCAACATACTCTCCCGCCCCATGGTTCCCAGTCCTCTCCCCCGGCCCACGCACCGACGGCCGGAGGCCTCTCCGCGGGTGGCCTGGAGCCCTCGCTGAGCTTCAAGCCCCGGCGAGGCCGGCACGCCGCACGCCGCACGGGTCGCCGGACCGGGCCGGGCTCGGTTTGGGGGTTTGGACGGGTGGCTCCAAAGGGGTTGGCTCCAACTGTCCGCCAATTTTCCCGGCGGGAAGTTTTCAGTTGGGGGAAAGTGCAAAAATCACTGAAATATATGTGCTCGTGGTTTGTCACCTCGTCTTTTTGCATGAGTTTGTTGCTTATGTTTTTTTGTGTTCGGTAGGTAGTAGGCTGTAAACAGCTTGCTCACCCAAGAATTGGAACGATGGTGCAGTTTGCTGAGTGCGGGGAAGAAAAGGAGATGACCAAGCCGAATGGTGATAACATTATGCTGTCTACTTTCACCCATTTGTATCCCCTTTCTGTTTGTTTCTTGTTGAAGAGAATCCAAACAGAAACTGGGGTCTGTATCTTGTTAGGCTCTCACATCAGGAGATGCACCTGCATGGCAGCACCCCTGACTGGCTTTTGAGCCGGGAATGATGTAAGCATACCGGCGCATATAATTTTGTACAGAGATTGTACGATTGTTTGTTCAAGGAGCTGTTTTGCTGTTGCCACTGGTATGTTGAAACACTGATTGCGGAAGACTCCATCATTTCATTCGATATTTCCTCACAGGGTAGGGTTGTTGCCTCCGCCTTCTGCACAGTGAATGGATCTTGAGCAAGCGCAGTCTGTTTTTAGGGACACCCTGAAGAGTACTTCTTGCATGGAATCCCGATATGGGTGTGGCTCAAAATTAAACAGGAGGGGCGTTACGCAGGTTTTGGTCCAGCCACAGCCATATCTTCCGCCCGCAGGGGCGATGACAGATGGCTGGTCCAGTTGTGTTGTGGCTTCCTTATACCTGGAGTCTCCTTCTGACCCGAATCAAAAATAGGTCCATGACCAACCATTATTTAAGGCAATGACCAACCATTGAGCCTCTAGGTAGACGTTCTATGTTGGATGGTTTTCGCAGAAAAAACAATGACCCCCGCAAGAATGGGGAGAGGCCTGTCTGGGGGCGGGACACCGATTTTGGACACTCCGATTTTGGTGTTGTGGGCCCGAAAACCCGTGGTTTTCTCCATTCTGGATTCCCAAACGGTTCATTCCTACCACGCCATTCCCCAATTTCCTGTCGCACCCGCACGTCTTCGATCGTTTGCTTTTTTTTTTTATTTCTTCGGGTTGTGATTGTGGTCACTGTTCCTGGGCAGAACCCCACACCCTCCCGTGCATACGGGACGTGACCCACAAGCAAAACCCGGGTAGATGAAGGTTAGCAAGGGATAATCCCAACCATCAATAGCTGCGGATATCCGCCTTAATTCTTGAAGCATGGTTCTGGGTCGACGATTTTAGTACCGCGTTTTGATTATGACTCATCTGGCGCCCGGGGGTTGTCAACTTGGGCATGAAACCCGGCAGTTTTCAGAAGACCCTCCCCTGGAAATAAAGCCTTACCTGGAGTCTCCATGACCCGAAATACAAATAGGCCCATGACCAACCATTATTTAGGGTAATGACCAACCATTTTTATTTCGGGTCAGAAGGAGACTCTAGGTAAGGCTTAAGGCTCATTCATTACGTGCCTGCGAGGCGACTACCTCCTCTTCCAGCGCCCACCTTTTTGCGCCACTCCGCCCATCTCGCGGCCCATCGGCTCGGTGCCCTCGCCACACGCGCGGGGCGTCTACGTGTGGCCCACGGTGCCTCATGGCTTCTGAGGGGAGGCGGGAGAAGTCTGGGTGGCTCGTTGTTTGTTGTTTGTTCAAGGTTTGGATCCCAGTGCCTAGAGGTGACATGAGGTAACCAGGCGCTTTTGTTTTTGTTTTGGGTGGCTCCTCCTTTCCTAGAGGGTCCCAGTACTTCATGTGGATGGTTGCGAAATCCTGCAGAACAGGGCAAAACCTCGCCTCCGGCAGAACGGCCCCAAGAGGTGTGTCTGCAGTTTGCCTCCTAGTGCATTGAGCCCGTCCTACTGTGGATGGTTGCGAAATCCTGCACCTAAGAAACCCTGGTTTCTGATTCGCTTCCCCTACGTAAATACCAGCAAACAATGGCTTCAACCATGGTTTCCAAGTGGTGCGAAATGGATTGCGTCCATCCACAGTATGGGTGGCTCGTCCTTTTCGTTTTTTTCAAGGTTTGGACTTTGGACCCACAAAAAAGGGGAAACTAACCACGCCACCAAACCAAAGGTCTTTTTCTTTTCTTTTTCTTCTCGGTTTTTATCGCTTTCCCCTGTTTACTCCTTTCCCAGAGGGTCCTCCTTTCCCAGAGGGTCCCGGACGGTACTTCATGAGGATGGCTTGAAAGGGGGGTAAGAAGGGGTCGTTCAGTAGCTGCTCAGAAGGTACCAAGGGACCCTCCTCGGTTTTTGTTTGTTTGTTTGTTTTAACGTTTGGATCCCCCAAGAATAGGACAACAAACCAGACCACCAGACAAAGGCAATTTAATCCACCAAAGGTCTGTTTTTTGTTCTTTTTTTCTTTCGATTTGCGGTTCCCCGAACACCACCACCTAAAAAAGGGTACCCTCAAAAACAGACACGCATGATGATGTCTCAAAACAAGGAGGACCCAAAATGGGTGTGGGTCAAAAATAGGTACCCAACATGTAACCCTGGTAAATGGAAACAAAGACTCAAACCTGCGGTCCCCTGGTGGTTTAATTTTGACCCATACCCAAATGGTGGCTTTTCTTTTCTCACTTCCCGATGTGTTGCTTTCGCAAGTTCTTTACCCTCCCACCAATCAACAGATTGGCATGGAGCCTGACTGGGAACCATTATCCTATCTAAAGCACCCCCTGCCAGGTTCCATGTTAATCGGTGGGAGGATAAATCCCACTGGCCAAAGAGGTGAGCGCTTTGCATTTGCGTCCATTTTGGGCGTACATGTCCCGCCTTGCCTATGTCCGGAGGCCTTGCATCCATCACACGGCGGCACGTGTCGCCAGCTAACCGCTGGAAAGCCGCGCGATGAGCCTCCGGCATGTCTGCATGTTCACGTTAAAAGACAGGAGATAGTAAGCAGATATATATATATATATATACATATATATATATATATATATATATATTCGGAAAATTTGGGCCACTAGGCTTCCCTGTCCCATCTTTAAGTTTGTGCCAGTGGATCCCTATTACCGCTGTAGGTAACCCTTCGACATGTTCCATTTTTTATCGTCTGGGAACCCTTGGATTCTTGGCAGTTTTTCCTCATCGGCTGGTGTGTTTTCAGAACAGCCCGGATGTGAAATGGTTGTGAACCTGCGGATTTTCGGCCATTGTTGTGCGAGCCCCAGGTTCGGTGATGAAGTAGTAATGCACGGATGTTTGTTTTGAGAGCAATCTTTGGGTTGCCTCAAAACAGGGGGTGTTTCCACCGCAATTGGCGGCTCCTTTCGGTTTGCCCAGTGCAACCTGGGTGTGTTCTTGTTGGTGGAGCCCGCAAAATGGTGATTTTCCTTTGGGTTTCCTTTTCAATCAATCTGAAGTCATCCGAGGCACGGAGATGTGGTTTGCGGACCTACGAACGTGGAGCAGGACATGCTCTTGGGGTGTCCAATTCTCGTTTTCGAGGCAAGGCACTTACGGATGCCAAGCATGCCGACGGGGTACCGAGGTGTTGCTTGGTGCTTCCCTGCGAATCTGGTTCCAGCATGTTTTTAAAATAAAACATAAAATGGGGGGGTAGTGGGGAGTTTCCATTTAATTCACCCACCAGTGAAAAACTCTGTGCAGGGGATTCGGACGTGTCAATCGGCTGTCGCCTTGCTGCTTGCGGCTGTCGCCTTTGAGGCCCCAGGGTCATATTCCATGTCCACCGCCGTCCGCATGAGATACTGTGGATGGTTGCGAAATCCATGCAACGCACCACCTCAGAGACCCTGGAAGGATGAGGCCGCTCTGTAAATACCAAGAAGCAATGGTTTCAACCATGGTTTTTAAGTGGTGCAGGATTTTGTCCATCCACAGTATGGTCAGTCTTACACAGGTCAATATTGGTATTGCTAGCATTAAGTGCCGCACTCTTCTGCCAGATCACATTGCTTGATTGGTTACAAAGGCCGCCAGTGCCACTAGACAAATCTAGTAAATGGCTTCGAAAGATCCAGGAGGCCATGGATTTGAATCCAGGATCTGGTCTCAAGAGCGCTTGTCAATGACTTGATTTCAGTTTTTTTTGCTGCAAAGATGTCGCTTGATTGGAACAGGTATACCAGGGAGAGCAAATCCTTGCGGGGAATTCATTCACAGCATGGCCTGTGGCTTTCATGTCGTGTTTCTAGGGGCACCTCCCAACCATTCTGAACCCAGGGATCCTTCTGGCTAGAAACCTCCGGAAACCCGATCGGGCAAACGGCCGGTGCTTGAAAAGAACGATAGCTGAAAAGAATGGACAAGGAATCAACCCCTAGAGGTTAGTGTGGTGAAACACAGAAGGAGCTGGTTTAGATGGGTTTATTTTATTTACCAGGGAAACCCATCTGTTTTGTCCACAAGGACACCTATGGTTGTTCAGCTCATTAGTTGGCCGGCAGAGTCGGATGCCCTGGTCATCCAGTCCTTCTGGTTTTTTGCTTCAAGCAAGCCAGATGAGTGGTCTTTGGCCAGACTCGAGGAACACCAGCAGCTTCCCGCGCCCAGTGACGACACGCTGGAGTCTTTGAGGCAGAAGGCGGGTGGTACCGAGTCAACGAGCCCCGAGTCATACCTGGAGTCTCCGCGACCCTTAAAAAATGGTTGGTCATTGCCTGAAATAATGGGGTCATGGACCCAGTTTTAAAGGGTCATGGAGAGTCTACAGGTATTTCTTTGTTGGATATTGCACTATCCCTGCTTGGTGTAGCTAGGCTGGGACACGTATGGGTATTCTTTTTCGGGCAATAACATCCTAAAACAAAACGGAAAGCAGATCCGTACCATTTTTCCGGGCCCCATGTTGTCGATTTCCCAAAAAGGCCACGCATATTTACTGTAGTTTGTCTCTGTCCCAAAAGTGAAGGCTGCCCTCTCATGAGGCCCCCTGTTCATCAATCAGGGGTTCACCCAACCCATGTTCCCATTCTCTCAAAATAGGGGGCTCCTTTTGCAGGGCTCCTTCACAGATACATTTTGCAACCATTTGAAACATTGCTTTTTCCACCAAAATACAGGGACACCACCATTTACAAGGCAATGTTCAGGTGTATAATGTAAGGATCCCTGTTTTCGGATGGTTTTGAAGGGTCACCAAAAAGGACACCAACCACTTGGAGTGGTCCCTCCCATTTGCCTCCAAGAAATGCAAGTCAGTTCTTCAGTGGCACCCTGCAGCTTGTTGTATGGGCGCACCAACGAGTCCACTGCACGGGGTCCCGGGTTCAAGGTCACAGGACAACTGAGCCAGAGTCAAACCCATTGTGCCATTGTGGGAGATTACCAAAGTGACTTTTTTGATGTCTAACATGCTTCCACTAGCCCAATACCAGGTTTCCCAGTAGTGAAAAGAAAAAAATGGTATAGCCCTTTTTCTAACCTCTTTACAGAACCACCCCAAAAGAACCTGGAGTCTGCATGACCCTTTCAAAATAGGTCCATGACCAACCATTATTTAGGGGTAATGACTCATGACCAACCCATTTTTCATTCGGGTCAGAAGGAGACTCCAGGTAACGTTCTGGTGTGATTTCCCCCTTTTTTCCCGTTTCCAGGGTGGGTTTTTGGAGGGACCTGGCGAAAAGAACCCAACCCCCCCAAATCGTCCGTCTCAGGCGCTGGCGGTGTGCCCAGCGCTCGCCGCTTGGCGGGTGGCTGGCACCTATGCAGGCGGGGGTCGCGACGAGCGAGTCAGAAACCCCGTGGCTTCTGATTCGATTTCCCACCCAGAGGCTCCAATTCGATCGATTGACTTAGGGCCTTCAAATCACCTGGTTTTGAGACCGGGCCCCAACCACCGATTTCCGGGGTGTGGAGGGGTCGGGTCTTCCATTGAAAGCCGAAGCCAGGAGCCTCTGGGCGACGTAAATACCTATACGTTATGAGTTCAACCATGGATCCGGTTCTTGGTGCGAACGGACTTCGCAACCATCACCAGTACACCGCCGACTCCAAATACCCACCTTTTTTTTGGGTATCATGTCGACCCTCTAGTAGAGGTGGTATTTACCTTCAAAAACCATGCTTTCCGAAAAAATACCCTAGACAAAGTGGGTATTTGGAGTCAGGGGCGCACAAGAACCAGTGGATGGTTGCGAATTTTGTTCGCACCACGAAACGAAACCATGGTCGAACTCATAACGTTTATAGGTATTTACATGGGAATCGAATCAGAAGCCGGGGTTTCTGAACGGTTTCCATACATAGGTGTCCTTTTGATCGGTCGGTTTGGCGGGAAATAGATGGGTTATGAGTTCAATCTGGCTCACCTGAAATACTGTGGATGGACAAAATCCTTCACCATGCAAGAGTACACTGGAATCTTGATTCCCCGGTAAATACCGACAGACCATGGTTTCCCATAGTTTCAAATTGGCGCGAAATGGATTTCGTCCATCCACAGCATTGCTGGGTCCAAACTGGGCAAGTGCCAGTCTGGCTGCGTGTTTTTGCACCTCCAATCCACCGTCACGGCGCTCGACTTCTTCGGAGGCTTGCGGCCAGCACTGGAGCCGTCGGCCTTCGGACATGACTACCTCCTGAGGCCTGTGCTGCGCCGGGGGCGGGGCTGGTGTTTTTTGTTTTGTTTTTTGTTTGGGGGGAGGGGGGTTGTATGGATGGGGAGGTTTGGGGGTTGAGGAAAAAGAAGGAAGTGAAAGACCCCAAACAAGTTGTGACCGATCACTTTTCCAAGTTAGACTGAAGCACAATTCGGATGATTTTGTTTCGGGGTTTCCGACCAATGGTCTTCCCATTCAAAGGACGTTTTGATAACCCCCCCTGATTTTGGGGATCCCTGGGTCTCAGTTAGCTGTCAATGTGGGTTGTAACCCACTTAGCCTACTTAAAGGGTTTAACATGAACGTTACCCAACAAGAGACGTTCATGGCCTTCGTCCCCTTGCCTACTGGCAAGACCGACCAGCCAGCCAGCCAGCCAGCCAGCCAGCCAGCCAGCCAGCCAGCCAGCCAGCCAGCCAGCCAGCCAGCCAGCCAGCCAGCCAGCCAGCCAGCCAGCCAGCCAGCCAGCCAGCCAGCCAGCCAGCCAGCCAGCCAGCCAGCCAGCCAGCCAAACCCAAACCAAACCAAACCTCAACCCGGCCCGGCCCGACCCAACCCAACCCAACCTAGCCAACCCTCCAACCAGCAAACCGTTCCTTGCACGAGCTTGTGTTGAACACCAAGCCCTAAGTGGGTAGTAAGCCTTGTTAATGTCCACTTCGGATGCTTATTTCACCGTGGCTTTTGCGGGATGTAAATCCATGGTTTTATGAATATCACTTGCCTGACGTATCCGATCGCCGGTTTAAGTAGACTTAAACCAAATCCACCAGTTGTCTCCGAAAGAGGGGCTTGAACAAGAATCAGGCTACATCCACGGATCAGGCGATCCAGTTTTTCTTGTCTAGGTTTTCCAGTGCCCTTTCTCACCATTTTTTTGGGAGCGAGTTCCCCTACTAAAATAGACTGCAGAAAAAAGTTGGGTACCCTGACTTGGTGGCTCCCAGCCATCCCCTTAGCTTTTTCGCCTTTTAGTGTTTAGTGGGGGTTTCCTTTTGGCCCACTAAAAGTTAAACCTTTAGCAGGAGATCTGAGGGCAGCCCAGTAAATGAAAACAAAGTACCAACGATCGAAACAGGGAGTACACACAAGTACCATACTCGGGATGGTTGCGAAATCCATTCGCAACATGAAATGAAGCCAAATAGACTAGAGAAAGAAGTTGGTAGCCCTTATTCTAACCTCTCAAATCTGGAGGACCTAATTGGATGCGTCGTCTTTAGGGGACTCCTCAAGGGGTGGTGTCCTTTTGGTTTCCTTTTAAACCAACCCCACAATTTGGGCACCACCCACTTCAAGGGGCAGGGTAGTAAGTGGTTAATAACCATGATGAAATAGCCCAATGAACGGAGACTCCTGGCTTTGGTGGGTTTTCTCACCATGGCTACTAACCACTTACCAGCCGTACCCGATCGCCCCTGTAAGTACTCATCCCCTCAGGGGAACCTTTCGTGAATGCGAGCCGCAATCAATCGATGCCTCTTTCAAGGACATGGGCAATTCAGCGAAGGCTATTTTAGTAGGGGACCCCTCCCGCAAAAAGGGTGAGAAACGGCGCTACTGATCCAACTTGTTTCTTGCCAGGACAGAGGGCCGCTGGAGCAGCATCTCCGGGGTGCGCAGCACCGGGCTCACCGCCTCCCTGGGCATAGCTCAGCTTCTGGCGGAGAGGCGACCACCGAAAAAAGCGAAATGGGGAAGGTCCCGGAAAAAACAAACAGGCGTCCATTTGCTGAAAAGAATTGTTTTTTTGTGTTCCCCATGTAAAGGGAATTGATTTCACTATATTTTTTCAGGGGACTTGAGCAAATGGAGGCCCAGGCTTCCATAATTGCATTTAGCGCATTGGACAACTACTTTGCCGACATCCACTGGGGAGCAAAGGTTGTCAGGGTGTGCTTTCAGATTGAATCCCAACGCATGAAAGGGGAATTGAGGTTGGAACCCCCAAGGAAACACAGAGGAAGTCCCAAACCCAGAGGGTGCCTTGGTACCTTTTAAGGAGGTACTTAGACCCCCAAAAGCCAAGCAGACATCAGGGAGGATTCCCCCGTTTGATTCACCTTGACTAAGTTTGATATGGGAAATGGCGCCAAGGGAATTCCCCCATATCCGTCCGTATCCCCGCTTGAATGAGGTTGGCGCCCCCAAGGAAACAAAGCACTAAGTGGAAATCGCAAAGAAATGAGGGAGAAGGCCTTTTCTTTGTTTACAATAGATGAAGACCATGGCTCAGATACCTGACGTTTGGACACGCGCGCCTTGGCGAAAACACCAAAACTTGGTAAACAATTGTTTCTGTCTGTTTTTGAAGACCCCCAAAGACAAACAAAAACACAAAACTGTGTTTGTGTTCTCCCTTTAAACACCACAACAATTTGGGCACCAACTCACCCAATGAAACAATCAAAAGCTCTAAGGGACATGGTAAATCCTGGCCTTGAAATGTGACTGGTGTTATGTTTCAGCTGGACACAATTGAAAGCTCCAGGTTGAACTTTCAGCGACCATGGACGCTCAAACGGACTTCAATGGGACAAATCCTACTCGAATCGCCCAAGAATCTCCTCAAACACGAAAAACACATGGAACATATCCGGAACATACGTGGCATGGAACACATGGAGCTGTACTTCATATGTATGGAAGGACAAAATCCTGCACCACCCAAGAAACCCTAGAATGATGCGACTCCCCAACGTAAATACCAACAAACGTTATGGTTTCAACCATGGTTTCAAAGTGGTGCGAATTGGATTTCGCCACCATCCACAGTATTTATGTGACCCCATTAATTATTTTGGGTAATGACTCATTTTTCAAGTCATGGAGACTCTAGGCGCTTCAAATGGTATGGAACATATATTTTTAAAGAGAGAACACGTGGGACGTGTGGCCGTCGTTTTTTTCAGGTTCTCGTTACCCGGGCCTTCGGACCTGCCGGGGCCGGTGCTGCCAGCCTTGGAGCAGCTCCCAGCCGCTGGGACCAAAGGACTTGATGCTGCTTTCCTCCTTTTTCTCTACCGGGTTTAGAACACTGCTCACCATAGGCGTCCTTCTTGGCTGTTTTGCTAGAAAAAATAGATGGCCCTGGTTTACCTGGTGGTGTAATCATCCACCAGGGCCATCTATTTCCCCTAAAAGGACACCTATGCTGCTCACTTGTTTATGGGTCATTTCGACAAGCGGTCCATTGCGGGTCCATGTAACAAATTGGTTTTACTACCCTCCTGTCCATTAAAATGGAACCTGACAGGGGTCATTACCTTTGATATTAGGGTCATGGACCTGTATATATACATATATATATATATATGGTACCCCCCCCCCCCCAGGGACCTACCTTTTGGAAGAATTCACTGGTATTTGCAGTGTGTTCTACCCTTTTTTGGGCTTTGGGGAGAGCAATGTTTCCAAGGACGTTCTGGAAGCTTCAGGCTTGATTTAAACCGATTTAAACCGATTTAACTTAAATCGGGCATGGATTCAAGATTCAAGATTCAAGAATCCAGTCCAAACTTTTGCAGGGAGTCTTGAATCCAGTCCTCGATTTAAACCGATTTAAGCAAATTTAAGTTAAATCGGGCATGGATTCAAGATTCAAGATTCAAGACTCCCTGAAAAGATGTTGGCCTGGATTCTTGAATCTTGAATCTTGAATCCATGCCCGATTTAAGTTGAATCGGTTTAAATCGGTTTAAATCGAGGCCTGGATTCAAGATTCCCTGGAAAAGTTTGGCCTGGAATCTTGAATCTTGAATCCATGCCTGATTTAAACTTAAATCGGTTTGAATCGGTTTGAATCGAGGCCCAAATTCAACATTGCACTTTGCGCGGCTGTACTTTGGCACAGTGTTGTGCAAGCATCCAAGTCCTGATTTTTCATTCAATCTTTTTCAATATTGGCCCACATTCAAGATTGTAGGCCAAAGTTTTCTAGGGAATCTTGAAATTTCAGTTGTTTTCAATGGGTTTCACTCGGGCCTGGACTCGCGATTGCAAAGAAGACTTGTCTAGATAATATTGATTCTTCAATGTTGAATACCGGCTTGGGTTCTTTCCTTATCGAATCCTGTGAAAGCTCTAATTGAATTGTAAGTACATGTTGGGAAAGGAACTCTATTTAAACTCGAAATTTCAGATTTGATTACCATTAGGATTCTGTCCAAATATTTCATTATTGAGTCCCAATTAAATCTTGTTCAAATTCAACGAGCATTTAGCAAGTGTTCGTTGGTGCAGATGTGAATTGAGTATGAAAAACACAACATAACACTGTGTTTTACGGTGTTTTCTGACCATGGCAGTGTTAGGACTAGTGAAAAGACAAGTTTTGGACCTTTGGATTCTTTCCTTATGAATTCCACTTTTCACATTCGACCCAATTTCTGTTTGAAATTCAATGGAGCTTAAGAAGGACATACTCCAGCCAGAATTTCGATTTAGATTCGAATTTAAGTACTGATTGTTCTATGTCAAATTACATGGTACAACCGATTTCCTGTCCAATAGAGCATTGTACTTGAAATTCAATCACTTTCAGAACTAGAGTTGAATTCTTAGATGGTCTAGTCCCAGTTTGGTCCTAGTCCTAGTTGGGAGATCCTTGGTTCTAGGCCTAGTATGGTCCTAGCTTACTGAAATAAATAGAACGTACAAAGGACAATGCAAAGGAAGTTCCTTATGAATTGTAGTTAATCTATTACTCAATTTCTATGCAACTGCTAACTGAACAGTAGAATAAAGTAAAGAACATATCTAGTCATAATTTATGGTTATTCTGTTTCAAGCCAAATATTAAACATGACTTTCATTCCACCAGAATGTAATGCTTGACATCCAAATACTATAAGAAGTAGAGTTGAATGGTCTAGTCCTAGTTTGATCCCAGATGAGATATTTTTGGTTCTAGTGCTAGGTTGCTCCCTAGTTTACTTCAATAATTAGAAAGTATACAGGACATTACAGAGGAAGTTATACTTGAAACTCATTTTTTTGTAAGAATCTGAGGTGGGTCGTCTAGTCCTAGTTTGGTCCTAGTCCCAGTTGAGAGATCCTGGGTTCTAGTCTCATTTGGTCGTGGTCCTAGTTGAGAGATCGTTCCTCCCAGTCCTAGATGGGCAAATCATGCACTGGAGAGGCAACCAAAAGGTAGGTCCCTGGGGGGGGGGTAGCATATATATATATATTTAAAGTCATGGAGACTGCAAGCCATCCATATATATATATAGGGTTGTTCCCCCTTTTTCTCCACTTCTAAGCTCGCATGTTCTGTTTTGAAACGACGCTGTTTCGCCAAGCTAGCAAGTGGTCAGCCAACTGTGTTGTAACCCCCTAATAACTCTACTGCTGTTGGGTTGGATCTTTAGACTTTTAACTTTGTGTATTTTTGTCACGTCCTTTTACCCAGCAAAAAGTTGAGCTTTTTGCTGGGGGATCTACAGCACCCAAGTTTTTGGTGGGGTCCCCTTGGTTAAACCAAAAGGGACACCTATGCACACACATACACACTTCCCCAGAAGTAGCTCCCTGGTTTTGGTTTGTTTTTCGCTTTTTTGGTTGGTCCCACTAACCAGGCAACCAATATACTCTTTTGGTGGGTCCCAGTTTTTAAACTAGGGAAAACATGGGAAAACACATATTTTGTTTTTTTGGTGGGGAAACGCAATGAGACACTTTTTCGGGCCATGACCCCTAGAAAAAAGGGTCATACAATCCCCTTAACTTTGGGGGAAGTGACCCCCATTTTTAGAGAGTCAAGTAGACTGCGGGTAGAGACGAACCCATGCACTCCGATTCTTGTTTTGAGACAAACACATGTCATCTACCAGGGATCTTTAAAAGATACATTTTGCCCATTTGAAACATGGCTTTTCCACCAAAATACGCTTTACAAGGCAATGTTCAGGTGTATATTGTAAGGATCCCTGTCTACCGCCACTTCATTTGGCAATCTCCCCCAATCGGGGTCTCCCGTCAGGCCCACTACCACGACGGCTGCCTCCGCTTGAACTCCGACTGGCAGATCGCGCACCCGCCCTGCCGGCGGAGGTTCAATGATCACGCGGGTTTTCCCAGGAGGACATTCCTGAGCCCCCCTTCTCGAGAAAAAACTACTATGACAAGTTACTACTACTACTACTACTACTACTACTACTACTACTACTACTACTACTACTACTACTACTACTTTTCCCAAAAGCGCTGAGCAAAAACACGGAGGATGGATTTCACTTAAATATATCCGGAGTTGGTGGGTCCAGGCTGCGCAAGTATCCTCACTCCCACTAACATACCACCTCCCAGCAAATTCCTTTAAGAGGAAAGTGGCTGGTTGTGGTTTCTGACTGGGATTTACGCCTTGATGTTCAAAGTCTCATGTGAAAGATTGGCCGGGACGTTTTGGTGCACAAACTCTACGCCGATCGTTGCACCAGTTGTGGATGAAGTCCAATTTTAAGACTGGGATCCAGTTAGGCTGGATAAATACGACTAACGCATCACAAACCACCGATATCCAGCTGGTGCGAATCGATCGCGGCTTCGTCCACCCCTAACCCTCTAAAAATAGGTCCATGACCCCAATATTTAGGGTAATGACCCCATTTTTAAACGGTCAGAAGCAGACTCTAGGTAGCAGCACCCGTCGCGTCGCATCGAAAGACCGCTGCGACGCCAGGCAGACTCTTTTGGGCCTCAGCACCAGCGCTTCTCTGCCGCTGCCAGGCGCGGAGTCTCCAGGACGGGTCCATGACCCCTTCATTTTGGGTAATAACCCCATTATTGAAGGGTCATGGAGACTCCAGGTATTTCGATGTTTGTCAAAACCTGGAGACTCCAGTGTTCCGAGGTCTTGGAGAATCAGCAAAAACATCTTGCAGGTATGGATGTTTAATATGGCAACCGGGGGGAACAATACGACCTAGTGGTACGAATATCCGCTTTCCGAGTGTGGATGAACGAAATTCATTTGCACCACCGTTCAGAACCTGGTTCAGAAATCAAAGGAAGGAATCGATTCCCCAAAATAAATACCAAGAAACGTTGTGGTTTTAACAATGGATTCATTTCGTAGTGCGAAATGGAGTTCAACCCCCCCCCCCCCAAATCGAAGAAAGAGTTGGAACCCCAACACTCACTTCCTGAGTTCATGAACTTTAAACTTTTTGGGCAGACCATTTTGGTGGTAAATTTAAAGTTTACACTTTTTTTGGGCCATCCACTCAGGCAGTGAGTAATAACAGTTGTTGAGGGTACCGTTGTGAGGTTGGCTCAAAGTTTCAGCCAAGAGAACGACCGCGGGGCTCCCCCTGCTGCTGAGCAGGGAATGAGATTAATGGCTCATGACCCCGAGATAAACCATGTGGAATCGTTTGTTCAAAAATCCTCAAACGGTCCATGAACAGTCATTCCCGGCCCTTCCCAACCCCCTGGGTCATTCCCAGGGTTGTGGCTGATTTTATTGGGGGGTTGCGCCTTGTGTTTTCCATTTTTCGGGAATGCCAAAAACCGGTTTGTTCGCAACCCCTGGGTTATCCAACATCTGTGCTACAAGTTGGAATCCCCTCTTTCTCTGGGGGGGAGAGCATGTCTTAGGCCCTTGGTGTATCACAATGGATTTCATGTCCCATGGCCCTGTTCCTTATAGCTACATGCGACTGGTGGTTTCCTTTGTTCGGGAATCCCCAAACGGTTCATTCCAGGGCTGTGGGAAATGACCACTTCTGTGATACAACAAAAAGGTCCCCCAAAGACTACCCCGCCATTTAAAAAGGTGATTCCAACTTGTATCACAGAAGTGGTTGGAGAAACCCGAGTGATCCCACAACCCTGGTTCATTCCGAAAACCCTGGGCCATTCCCTACCTATCGCACCAACTTGGCACGTCTCTTCCAAGACACCAGGTCCAACTGCCCGCTGCGGCTCCGCGGTGTGGCCGCTCGGCCCGGAATGCGCTCGGCTCGTTTTTTTTTTGCTGGCTTTCGTGTTTAGGCAGGTGCTGTGTCCGTTTTCAATGTGAAGCCACAAACAAAGGGAAACCAACGGTATGTCCAACTTTTGGGGGTTGGAAACTGAAGCCACCCCTTTGCCGAGTTCCTCAAGAAATGAGAGAACGCGCTGTGCGGTGCATGGACAGAGATGCATTTCGATCCTTGCCCCAACGGTCGAAGCCCCTTGGGTGGCTTTGTGAATCCGAGCTCCCCGCGTCCTACCTTTGTCGTGTTTTTTTGTTTTTTTGTTTTTGTTTTCGGATTCCTGGAAAGTCTACTTAAAGGCGGTCCAAACGGTTATGCTTGTCTGGAATCAGAGGGTTGGCTGGGTTGTTGTGGCAGGTTACGGCAACCAGAGTAACCAGGGAAGTTGGCTTGCGATCAAATCAGTACTTGGCGGGGTAAAAAGGGGTCGTTCAGTACCTCCCTAGAAGGTACCAAGGCAGCCTCTGGGACAAGGAGCATATTCTTTTTAACAGAGGGGCAGGCAACGGACAGCCCAGAATGTGAAAGGTTCCTGTCATAGGGATCCCGTATTTCCAATTGGTTGAGTTGCTTAGCACTCGCGAGTCCCGATGCATGTGGGGTGGCTTTTTTGAGGGTACCCTTTTTGCCCAGGTTTAAAGGGAAGCCAAAAAGGAAACCCATTTTTTTCCGCGGATATTTTTTGAGTTTTGAGACACACCAATGCAGAGATTGCACTGACGCGATATATATATATATGTGTGTGTGTTCATTGCCCATCTATAGGCCATAGGAGCCATGCAAGCGGATCATAGAGTGGTGCTAGTTTACTGTGAAAGCAGGTGCTGGTCTGCAAAAGGTGTTGTTTCTGCATACCCTCCCACCAAGCAAAACACGTTCGGGGGGGTCCATTTTTTCTTGTAAGGGACCCCCGAACGTCAGGTTCCATTTTTGTGGTGGCAGCGTAGCTAACCTATTGTTTGGCAGACAGGAGCTGTCTATCTCAGCTCTGTACAGAGGGCGACCGTTGTCACTTGAACGACTTGTGATTTCTGAAAGTGAATCTCTGCCAGCATTGTGGCTTATCAAAGGCTGACGCATTATTTGGAAGGCTTGATAAGTCAACCGAATTCCAAGCACGTCCGCGATCTTGGTAGATACTACATCAATTTGCCTAAGCCCCCTGGAAAATTTAAACATATTTTCAGTAGTGATAGATTCCCTTTAAAGTCAACAGGAGATAAAATATATTCCGAAACACACATGGAAGAAAAAAGCACATCCTTCTTGGATCGACTCTCGTTTCCATCAAAGTGTCTTATCAGTATATCCTTTATCGCGGGTATCAGATTCCTATTGGGCAGTATGGTTGGGGAAGAGGTGATTTTGCAGCACATGCTGTTGCTGAAAGATTTCCTCCATCATTTGGGATGGATTCCCTGAGAACCAACAACACCACCTGCACCTCATAATGGCTATTTGATTGGATGTTTGGACTCTAACTTGTTGGACAGCTGTGGATTTTCCGAATTGGACCCACGCAATGTTTTATACTTTTGGAGAGGGGTCGATACGGCAAGCGGCTTGCCAGTACTTTCCTGATCTCGCCAGGTTCAATCCTTCCGAATGCGCGGGAAAAGAGACGAAGACTGAGCGTTGCTCCAATGTGGTGTTGGAAATTGCCCATCGAAACCCGGAGACCCAACCGTTGGTTGCGGCCGCGTTGGTAACTCATAGTTGTGGGTTCGCCACGTTTGCACCAGGTTGTGATTATACAATTATGACTGACATGAGGTTTGGTCAGAATGACCAGTATGCTTCATTTGGGAGGGGCATGGTAAACAACTCGCTCTAAATGTTCCACAGACCTTCGCTGAGTTGCCCGTGTCCGTGAGGGAGGAGTCTTTTGATTGCGGCTGGCATGTTTGATGTTCAAGAAACGTTCTCCGAAGGGGATGAGTACTTGCAGGGGGAGGGTACTTAGTAAGTGGTTAGTAACCATCGTTATAACCCACCAAAGCCATGGTTATAAGTCTCCTGACTGGGTTATAACGATGGTTACTTACCTCTTACTAAGTACAATGCCCCTTTAAGTACCATACTGCCGATGGTTGCAACATCCATCCGTTTCGCGCCACCGTTCAGAAGCCCAAAGGAATGATTGAACCCTCCCCAAACATAGGCAGAAAGCAGATGACCCGGGGTTGACCTGATGGTTTCATAATCTACATACGCATCAGGCTGTTTTTGATGTCGCGAAATGTCAATGGGCCAAAAAGCAGACGTTATCACTTAAGCGATTCAATCAGTCCACTCAATTCCCCAACAAGATAATAGGAACGTTTATAGATTCCCCACCCAAACAGTCGCCATACTGTGGATGGACGAAATCCTGCACCACTTTGAAACTATGGGAAACTAAGGGGAATCATCATTCTAGGCTTTCTTGGGTGGTGCGAAATGGATTTCGTCCATCCACAAGTAGGTTCCCCACCCAAACAGGTGCCATAGGTTCTCAATGGCTTCTCAGCGCAAAAGTGGCTTTTGGTTTCCTTGGGACTTGCCATGCGAAAATCGTCTCCGAGTTTTGCATAAGCCTCACAAAAGTTCCCAGCCTGATGCTTCGGGCCTCGGGGATCTGCGGATCCAAGGCGCACTTTGTCAGAACATCCAGGTCCCCCAGTAGAGCCCTTCTCTCCTCTTTTTCGGGGGAGGGTTCCCCTAAAATAGACAACACCGAAAAAAAAACAGCTGGTACCCTTATTCAAACCTCTCTACTGGAGGATCTAGTCGGGGATCTCCGGATCCATGGAGGCCGAACCAAGTCTCCCCAGGTGTCCGTTCGGGAGCTGCCGTGTGTTGGTCTGGAGGGTCGCCGCATGCCGCGGCTCGGGGCTCTCTCCTGGGAACTTTTTTTGGTCGCCGCATGCCGCGGCTCGGGGCTCTCTCCTGGGAACTTTTGTTGGAGCGAAGACGCACTCCGTCCTTGAACCTATAAGAGCTGCCCTGCACAACTGATGCAAAACCGACCTGGAGTCTCCATGACCCGAATCAAAAATAGGTCCATGACCAACCATTATATAAGGTAATTGACCAACCATTTTTAAAGGGTCACGGAGACTCTAGAAATGACCTTTTGGGGTTCCCTTCTTGGATTCCCATTAGCCATGGCCTTTCAAAGGATATATCACCGGTTGTGTCCGTGTCCAGGGCCAAGTCTGACAGAGCTTCCCTGCAAGAGACCGCCAGGTCGAAGCTTAAGAAGCAGAAGACCAAGATGTTGATGCACCAGGCCAACTCGAACGAAGAGCGAACAATGTTTTTCAAACAACTGCCGCGACTTGCGGATCAGTTGTGTAGCTAGCGGGGGGGGGGGGGGGTAAACAGCACTTTTGGGGTGAAACGTGGCAGCAGTGATGCTCCAGCAGCAAACATCCTCAGCCAAGTTCCAGATGCTGTGCACAGACGTGTTGAGTATTTTGGTGCATTTTGCTTGGATGTTAGGACTTTAAGTTTTTGCCAACCAATGGGTTTTCCATTAAACCACTAAAAGTTAAACTTTTAGCAGGGGAGCCGAAAGCAACAGAGAATACATATTTGTGATTCGGTTTAAAAGATGCCCTCGCTGCCACTTCTTTACGTCGTCTATGTCCGGTTCGGCTGTCGAGCTCCATGTCATGACAGCGCCCGGAAGAGATCGCAAGCAGCGGCCACTTCGCCCGGCCTTCTGGGGCCATGACTCAAATCCCAGAGGGTCTCTTGGTACCTCATGAGGATGGCTTTTGGTGGGTAAAAGGGCTAAGTACCTCCTTGGAAGGTACTTGGACCCTTTGGGAATGGACCAAAATGGGAGAGCCAAAGGTTGAAAGGATAAAGGTCTGGGCGAAGTGTGCTAGGGGATTCGGAAGACTCGTTGCAGGCTGTGTGCTACATCAGGGTGAAAGTTTATGATCTTTCTGTTTGTAGGTCTCCAAGCCGACCATGTTCCCTTTGGTTCTCCCATGTTGGTCCATTTTTACCTGGAGTCTCCACGACCCTTTAAAAATAGGCCCATGACCAACCATTATTTAGGGTAATGACCCCCATTTTTAAAGGGTCATAGAGACTCTAGGTAGTCCTGGCGCCGCGGTTATTTCTGGGTCCTTGGACAACTGAGAGGTTGATTTGGTGTCTGCACATGTCAAACAACAAGTGGGGATGGAACGAGTCAACTTGGTGGCTCTCAGCCATCCGCCTCCTGTTTTTTTTTCACTTTTTTTTGGTTTAATGCTTGGGTTTGCATATTTAACCCACGAAAAGTTACCTGGACCTTCAAAAACCGAAAAAGACAAAGGGAACTGCCCCCCCAAAAAAGAGTTGGGTTGCAACAACCAATTTTTAAGTTGGATTTTGGTAGTGGAAAACAAAGGAAAAACCCAACAAGCAAAAAACACAAGGAGCTAATTCTGGGAAAGGAAGTAGGCAAGCCCACCTCAGTCCAAGTTGTTCACTTTTGGCAAATCATCTGGAAGATGAACGGAGAGGATCGGGGATCCGCCGCGCAGGTCATTGAGAAGCAGAAGCTGGAACGGATCTTGCGGGACATTTTGTCCCTTGAGGCGGAGAGGAACAACGAGGCGGCGAGATGTTGGAGGAGGGAGAGGTCCCTGGTACCTCATGAGGATGGCTGAAAAGGGGGGGTTAGAAAAGCGCGGTCGGTCTAAGTATCTCCTTAGGTAGCAAGGCACCCTCTAGGGAGCGATTGGCCCGATGGGTGAGACCAAACCAAAAGCTAAAAATTCACTTATTTAAAAAAGCAAGCCACACAAAAACAAACCAAGAAACATATTACATATATATATATATATGTTTATTTGTAAAAAAAAGCAAGTCGGCGACTGGAGCCACGGAACTCCAAGTACGTATGTGGACTTGCTCCATGGCTCCAGGGGCCACAACTACCTAGAGTCTCCTTCTGACCCGAATGGAAAAATGGTGGGTCATTGACCTCAAATAATGGTAGGTCATGGACCTATTTTTGATTAAAGGGTCAGAAGGAGACTCCTGGTTTCTTTCTTCTTTTTTCTCCGTGGGAAAACGAGGTAAGAAGGCGGTCCAGACAGGTCATACTTGTTTGGAATCAGAGGCTTGGCGTGTGTGGACTATCTGACTTTCCAAGTTCCGGAACTCGGACTTCTGTCACTCTTCGGGTTTGGTTGCCGTTTTGGTGGAAAATGAGAATTTGGGTTACTTTGCCCAGAGGCTCCTGGCTTCGGCTTTCAATGGAAGACCCGACCCCATTAGACACCCCGGGAATCGGTGGTTGAAATTCTCAAATCCAGGTTCTTTGAAGGCCCTAAATCAATCGGAGCCTCTGGGTGGGAAGAAAGAAAAGGTGGAAACTAAACAGTGTGGACATTTGTTGGCCCATCCACGCAAGAAGGGAGTTGAGGAGAGGGAGGCGAAGGAGGGCAAGAGGGATTAGCCGATTAGCCCAATGCTCTCAGGGTGCCAAACATAGTTTGTTCCACCAACAGGGAAGTTTCAAAGAACAATTTGTTGAGCTACTTCAACAAGTCTGGGAAATGGATTGCCGCTGGCAACTGTTGAGGGTTTCCCTACCCACTTCTCAAAAGAGGGTCAAAAGGTGATGTTCTGACACCTCACGTTGGGTGAGTGTTATATCGTTGGATGAGTGTTTTATTTGGTTCTCATCTCGAAGAGTCAGTGACGGAAACCGCATGATGTGGACGCTCCAGAATTGCCAAACGTTTTTCCTTGTGGTTTCCTGTTAAAACCCAGCAAACTCAAGAAAACAGACAGGGTCAGCAACAAATCCCCTTGTCACGTGAATTTCTGGCATTCCAGGGCGCCTTGTTAGAGCCTTGAGTTCCATGTTGCATCCATTCAACTCACTCCCAGAGTTCCGGCTCTCGGACTTTAGTCTCACTTGTTGGGGTGTCGACCATCTTAGTGGTAGACAGAACGTTTAGCCACTTTTTCTGGCCATTCCACTCCGGAAGTGACTCAAGGAGCCAATCCATCATGTGGGCTTGGTTGAAACCGGGGTTCACCCGCGGATCCCAACGACATATTGCCAGGAGAACAAGGGATTTCCTTCTAAACTTCCATTTGCTTGAAATTGTTTTGAATTGACCAACAAGACCTTGGTTTCAAAGGGGAACGATTTCACTACTGGACGCAAGTTATTAGATTTTGCTCCCGTGGGAGTCTATCCCCAATTTTTTCCCAGGGGTTGATTCCTATTCTTTTCAACCATCGTTCTTTTCGAAAATTAGCCGTCCTCCCTGGGTTTCAGGTTTTCTAGAAAGAACGATTCCTGGAAAGAATGGAAATGGAAGGTACCCCCCTAGAGTCTCCATGACCCTTTGAAAATGGTTGGTCATAACCCTAAATAATGGTTGGTCATGGACCTATGTTTGATTCGGGTCAGAAGGAGACTCCAGGCCTAGACTCCAGGTATAACCATCTTACTCAGTTTAGCTGTGTTTTTTCAGTTGGACACCTATGACCCCAAGTCCCTCAACCATCTTGGAGCCGCATTTTCTTTCTTCGCTGCAAATCCTCCCTTTTTGGATATACAAGGAAACCATTCTGGGGGGTTTGCTCCTGAAGGTGCCTTGGGATTCCTCAAAAAAGTCTGTCTTGTGAATCCTCCGCGTGTTTTTTGTTTCTTTTTTCCCATTTTTTTTTTCTCGCGGTGTGGCTCGGGTTTTCTCGCCTTTCCCGGCGCCCGGCGCCAGGCCATGGCGGACCCTGAGGTGGTGAAGGCAAAGGCGGAGGACGCCATCAAGGCGCCGCTCCGAACCCAAAACGGAAACAGCGAAGAAAAGCGCAGCGCGGTGGCGTCGCTGTATTTTTGTTGTTTTTTCTGCCTGGAGTCTCCTTCTGACCCTTTAAAAAAATGGGTCCATCACCCCATGATTTTGGATATTGACTCGGATAATGACCCCATCTTTGGAAGGGGGGTGAAAAGGGGTCGTTCAGTACCTCCTTAGACTTGGACTCTCTGGGAAAAGTGGGTCCATGATCCCATGATTTTGGGTACTGACCAAGCATTTTTAAAGGATTAGGGAGACTCCAGTGGGCGCTTTTGAATTTCCTCAAGGCTCTTTTTGTTTTCTACATGTAGGGTTGGCCCAGGTAAAATCAATGGAATTCGCCGACTTCGGAGTTTTGGGGCGAGCAGCACGTCCTAGTTTTGAATGTTGGATTCTTTTTGAGTGTCCAGGTTTTTCTGGTTGGTTCGAGATGTGCATGTCAAATGGAACAACCCCGAGAAAAACCTGCCAAACCAGGTGACCCATATCCGCAAGGGAGGCTTTAAACATCACCCTGGCTTAATTTAAGTGAGCTTGGTGACTAAGCACTCTGCTTGGCACGGGGGAAATAGATATACTAACTTCCTGAATTTCTGGTTGCTTGAGTCATTCTTGGGGTTTGACAACAAGCTTCTACTCCCTTCCACTCAGGAAGTGGTATACGAAGTGGCAGGGAATAGTGCCATAAGGGAATGAGAAATGTGTTCTGGAGAGCTCACCGGTTTAACGATGCGACTGTTGCCCAAAGCGCTCGACCTGATCTGACCTTTTGGTTTCCCCTTTGTGGCCAATCACGTCATGGCTTCAAAGGGTTGACCTTTTATTTGTGGGTCCTTTGGGCAACTGAGACGATGCCGGTTGATCTGCAGGGGGGGAGGAGGGGCTGAGAGCTGGCTGTCACCCTGTTGCCAACATGCGAAGGGGGCGATCGGAGGGTTTTGGAAGGTTGCCTCCTCAAAGGGCCCTGAAAGAAAAGTGCGGGAGAGTATGAGTGAAACGATGCTTGCTTTTCCGAGTTGCTTTGAAGTGGCTCTTTTTGTTTGGTTCGCGAGACAAGGCCTTGATTCAAATAGTTGTTCAATGAATTTGCGCGGATCCGAATGTCACATTTCACCTGGGGCACAGGCAAGAACAAGTCGTTTTCGTTGTAAACCGCACAAACCATGGTTTTTTAGGGTCGACCCATCAAAAATCCGCAGAAGGTTGCACCAGCAAAGTGAAATTCGTACAACGTAACACAAGTGGTTGAGGATTGACACGCCCAAATTGCGCAGACGGTCCACCGATAGAAGGCTGAAAAGCAGTGGCGCGGTCCGTTTCCGGACGTGCTGGGAGACCGAAGCATCTGCCAAACTTGCCCCAAAAGGATTCCGCAACAGGACTGGCCTGTTTTCCAATCCCTCCAATCACGGAGGGTGGCAGCTTCATGTTTTGGAAGCTCCACACTGGCCTGCCCACATGATGAATCAAGAGGAACATGGGCGTGGAGGTTGATCAATATTCCTGGCCCCGCAAATGTCCATGGATAAGTTTTCCCATGTAGTCTTGGTGGCTCCCAGCCATCCCCTTAGCTTCTTGGCCTTTTAGTGCTTAGTGGTAGTTTACATTTAAACCACCAAAAGTTAAACTTTTAGCCGGGATCTGAGGGCAGCCCAGTAGTGGGAAATAGCAGGGTTTTCGTGGTTCCAATGGTAATACCATGTAACTGGGCCTTCTGTGTCAACCTACGAACATGCTGGTTTCCTTGGTTGTTTCCCCGAACCGGATTTTTGGGCAACAAATCAACACGCGCACACACAAGCCTATGTGTGGATGCCACACCTCTTGGGTTCACTATTTCACCTTAAGACATTTGGGGGAAAATGGTTTTTCCAAGTCTGCGAAGAAGAAGCCCAGGTCTCCCCCACAGCCAAGGAACGCCCCCCGGACTGTTTACAACAAAATGCCCTCCGGTCCTAAAAAGCGGCTCCACTCGTCCATCCAAGTTCTCCCCCACTAAACTGCCAAAAGAAGAACCTGGAGCCTCAAGATTCCAACTCAAACATGGGTTGTTGCAACCCAAAATTATGGTGGCTGGATTCCCTGTTTTATTTGGGTAGTGTGAGGGCCCAGGAAATCTTTGCTTTTTGTTGTACCCAAGAGTTGGGCCCAAACACGAATTCTCTGCGCTCCATACGCCCCGAAACCTTTTGGGCCGCGCCAACAGCTGTGAGGCGGCGGACATTTCCATGAGCCGCAACATGACCACGGCAGTGGTGCCGGAGCCCAGCGAAAACCTCCCGGATCCAACTGAAAAACCTCGCCGGGATTAAAAGCTGTTTGTTTCTTTGGGACAACCGCCATTTCAGGGATTGAAATCGACCTTAGTTGAGAAATTCTCAAAACCCCTGCCGAAATCTCTGAGTTGTTCTCCAACTGTATGGGGGGGCAGAAGGTTTGGAAACATCCGTAGCCGGTTTCAGATATTGCACATCATCACTTAGCAATTGGTATCACTTCCGTCCACACAGGTCATCTATATTCCTGTTCTTCAACAGCTGGGGCTGGGATATATACATATATATATATTGATAGATCCATATATATATATATATATAGCTATATATAGAGAGAGCGATATACAATATATATATATATATTCACATTCTACATGATTCACTCCACTTACACTTCAGAGCCCACACCCCCTGTTGAGTCTCTGAGAACCATGAAGTTTTTCCCTGAGCCAACCCACGCTGAGAACCCCTTCCGCAAGAAAACCGACACCCCCATGAACAGTATTTTGCAAACAGGGGTTCCCATTTTGGATGGTTTGAACATCACCTTGCCAATCCACAGTGAGTTTCCTGGTGAGGTTGAAAGGGCGAATCTATTGAGCCCTTTTGGAGGGTCGCAGTTTTTTTCTCCATAGCAATAGACGTGCCACAGGGTAGGCTGTCGATTGTGCAGGTTGGTCTTCCAATTTTGTCCTTTCCTCTTGGCTTTTGATGGGTTTGACAAGTAATGTTGACTTCGGTTAAATCCGGTGGAACCTACTAGTCATCATTCCTTACTAGCAGGGGAACCATCCCTGATTAGTACGGTCCTGCGGATTAGTTGTGTATGTTGGCATTAGTTGTCGAGTCGGAAGGAACCCACAAACCCGCCACAAACCCTCCGGAAACTCCTGAACCCCCAAAGATGATTCCTTCAAAGAAGACATTGTCCTACCCGGAGGCTCCCGATTGATTTAGGGCCTTCAAATAACCTGGTTTTTGAGACCCCCAACCACCGATTCCCGGGGTGTCTAATGGAGGGGTCTTCCATTGAAAGCCCCAGGAGCCTCGGGTAGGGAATACTGTACTTTGTCAAGCCTCTGCACCCCAAAAAGGGATCCTTAGAAGAAATCATCGGAGAGTGCTCCATGGTAAGTTGGGCTAGGTCAAAGAGGATTGGCCAAGTACGAGTCAAAGCAAATCATACTGTGGATGGTTGCGAAATCCTCTTAGGCACCACTTTGAAACCATTGGAAACCAGAACGCTTGTTGGTATTTACAGGGGAATCGAATCATTCTAGGGTTTCTTCGGTGGTGCAGGATTTCGTCCATCCACAGTATGGTGGCAAGGCCCCGAGGGGTTAAACACACATTCTCGGTCTTAGGTCGGTTTCCTCCCGCCGCTTGGGCTTTGGTTGGAGTGCCCGTACTGTTTGGTAGTCGCCCGCATGGCTATGTGTCCAAATTTGAGGACTCCAACGATCGCAGAGGGTCCATGCCTTCTAAGGAGGTGCTTAGACCCGTTTTACTCTTTTTTAAGCCATCCTCATGAGGTACTTGGACCCGCTGGGGATGTGTGGTTTGACTCAGGTTTTCGTGGCGTTTGGGGCATTCATGTGTGCTGCCGTGCTTGGTCGATATAACGACATCTTGGTGAGCTTGTCAGGCCGTCATGTGCTGTGTGGCAGAGCTTTCTTATGACTTTGGTGCACTTATCTTAAGCTGGCGGACAGCAGTCACCAAGAACTTCGGACAGCTCTCTCTCTGGTGTCTCAGATATGCAACTGGACCTACACGGCAGGATGCACACATCGGGCGTTTCAATGGAAACCCCGCATGCCGAGAGGGGCCTCTAGCGACTAACAGGGTCTATTATAGGGCTAATACTTTGGATCGACGAAATTCTGCACCACCTAAAACCTCTAAAATGATGATCCCCTGTAAATACCAACACACTGCTTTCCCATGGTGTCAAAATGGTGCGGTCTCGGATTTCGCAACCATCCGCACATAGGTCCCCCAGTAGTTCCCTTTTACCGTTTCTTTTTTGGGGGAGGGGTCCCCTACTAACATAGACTACTGGAAAAAAGGATACCCTTATTCTAGCCCCTCTACTGGAAGACCTAGATTTAGATTCCTTTTGGGCCATTTTCATGGGGATCCAATTCCTCTTCGAAATTCCATGCTGGGTGCATTTCAAGACCTGAAATGACCTTTTTCTAGGAATGACTTTATCCAAAGTGACAGAGAAATGGCATACTGTCCAAAGTGACTTGATCCAAATTTCTAGGGGTTGATTCCTTGCACCCATTCGTTTCAACCATCGTGCTTGTCTCAACCGATCGCCGTTTTCCCTGGGTTTCTGAAGGCTCTCTAGAAAGATTCGGATTCCTGGGAAGAGTGGAAATGGAAGGTACCCCTAGACTTTGTGGTCTTCCCTTTTTGGGTTCCCCTTTTTAGTGGCCCCGAAAGGTGATTTGTTGCTTCCTGGTCCCAAACTGGGGCAAGTGAGCAACATTTGGTTTGTAAGGCAACGGCATTGTGTACAATCACCAAACAGACATGGGCAAGCGCTTGTGAACGGCTTCTCACCAAATCCAAACGTCGGTTCCGAAGGGCGACTTGCAGGTGACCAGGATTGCGCAACTCACTGCGTGGGCCGCGTTCTGCAAATGGTGAACCTCTCCAAAACGATGGGATTCCAGTTGTGTTCCATTTCAAACTAAGTGCCTGATCCCCCAACGGGCCCCTTGTACCACTTGTTTAGTCATTTCGAAAAGGGGTTTATTGGGGGTCCAGGTAACCAATTGGTTTTACTACCCTCCTGTCCATTAAAATGGAAATCATTTGCTGGGAGGCTAGCCATGACTGTTGAAAAGAGGGTACTTTGTCCCGCCCATTGGACAGCCCTATACGGGACCAAAGAATGGGATGTGAGGTACTTTCAACTCATGTGTATAGGAGATGCTTGAATCCCAATAAGATCCTACAAACAAAACATGTTGTCAAGTCCATACTGTGGATGGACAAAGTCCTGCACCACTTTGAAACCATGACAAACCATTGTTTGTTGGTATTTAATTACAGGGGAATCATTATTCTAGGGTTTCGTTGGTGGTGCAGGAGTGAGTCCATCCACAGTATATAGGGGATTCCACACGGAAAACTCTTGCGCGCCCTTGGTTGCACAACAAAGAACGAGGCCTACATGATGCCCATGGTCGTGCAGCAGCCCGGGCGAAGTTGTTCGAGACACACTGGAGTGTTGGCCTACCTAGAGTCTCCTTCTGACCCTTTAAAATTGGTTGGTCATTACCCTAAATAATGGGTGTCATGGACCTATTTTGAAAGGGTCATGGAGACTCAGCAATGCCGTGGATGGAGGAAATCCAGCTAACAATAGTTCCATTGCCCTGTAAATACCAACCAACAAATGGTTTCAATCATGGCTTCCCTTTGTAATCCGGTCTCGGATGTCGCAACCATCCAGAGTAGCTGGGAAGTGCTTCTGGAAAACACAACTTTTTGGAGAAAGGTTCCCTGAAACCACGACTAGGTCCCCCAGTAGTGCCCTTCTCTCCCGATTTTTGGGGGAGGGCTCCCCTTCTAAAATAGACAAAACGGAAAAAATGGGTGCCCTTATTCTGACCTCTCTACTGGAGGACCTAGACGAGGTGCCTGAACCCTCAAACTGCCCAGAAAGGGAACTCACCATATATTGTTGGGCAATATCCCAGTTGCCAGGGAATTTGGAGGTTTCAGGTAGATGTTCCCTTTTTGGGACGCTTGTGAAAAAGCCATAGAGCCATGGGTTGAGAGACACGGAAGATCGATCGATAGCAGCCACCGCGAACATGAGTAGAGACACGGTAAATCGTTTGCCCCCGGAAAATCAGTTTGCCATCACGATCTCAAAGGCAGAGCTCTTGGCGAATTCCTGGAGCTTCCTCAAAGCTTTGGTCGGGCGGGCCATGCGTGCGAATCCGCTGGAGTTGTTTTTTCTCCGCTGGATCATGTTTGTTGTTTTTGTTTTTCTGCGCCAAGATCGGGTTTCTTTTGTGCAGAAACGGCTTTCACGGGATCTTAGCCTTTAAGCTTTGTGCAGTTGGGGTTGTCGTTTTTGGATACCGTTACTGGGGATGGTCTAAAGATAGATTAAAGAGACCCCGCCAATTTCGGGGTTACCCTAATTTGAGACAACCCCATTTACACCCACTGTCGCAATCCAGTTAAGGGACCCTTGATGACCGAGGCTTTTGCTCGCAGCTTTGGAATCTAGACCTTAAATTGTCAAGCTTTGAAAATCATCAAACCTGTTGCGTGGCATTTGTGCCCTATGAAGACTTCAAGTTACAGGACTGCGGTGACAAGACGGGCAGCTTGTGTTACACGTTCCATGAAGTCATGCTGACTCTAGGCCGGTACAGAGGTAGGCCATGTTGACCGGACCTTTTGGCACCTTGGAACGCCTTTTGCCATGAACAACCACCCCCAACCCCACTCCAACCACTACCACCTCCACCCACCCTAGCCCACCCCCTTGGCTTTTCTCCGCGGTCCTTTAGGTGGAAAAAAATCCTCCCCCCGGGTTTCGCGGTTCTTTTTTTGTTTTTTGTTTTTTACCTCAGCGGGGCTCCTTAAAAGATGGCCATGATGGCCATGTTGCTTGCAACCATTTGAAACATGGCTGGCTGTTTCGACACCAAAATAAAGAAAGGGACCCCACCATTTACAAGTTGCAATGTTCAGGTGTTTTTCATGTAAGGATCCCTGATCAGGTAGCAGCCAGGATCACCCGGGCAAAAGGGTATACTTGGTGGCGAAGCCAGCCATCCGGTTCCGTAGCTTTTTAGCCTTTTAGGGTTTAGTGGTAGGTTCCGAATTTAAACCACAACTTTTAGCGGGGGATCCACCATCATTATAGACCTAGAAAGGTGCGGTCCCATTAAAATCCCCAGGTGTAACCGGTTGATTCCGCCCTTTTGTCAACTTGTTTAAAGGTGAAGGGCTCCCCATAAACTCAACCAGCCAAAAATGGATGCCCTCTTTTCTCAGTGGCCACTGGGCATTTGAGATTCTTAGCTTTGGGTCCGTTTTCAGGTTGCGATGACTCCTAAGCCCGTCACTTCTGGAAGCATGATGTTACTCTTGCCTCGCCGCTTCGCACCTCAAAGGTTTCAGCGCAGAAGCAATCTCACAGACGACACGCACAAAAATCCTCTGCTTGCAGACGGATTCGCTTCGCTTCCAATTATTTTGTCCAGCCAAAGCACTGAGAAAATCACCGGCGATTCGATTCGCGAGTCGCGAGTCGATTCGCGCGAGTCGATTCCTGTGCATCGCCATGCCCCTCATGCACCATGGATCGTCGGAGCGTGGTTTGTTGCTGGCCGCCCAGGGAGAGGCAGGGTGTGACTCGTTGATTGGTCAAATTGTTGTGACACATTGTGGGTCAAAACCTAAGGTACCTTTTTGGGGATGGTTACCACTCCACTACCACTCCACTGTTGTCTTAGAATTCTTTCTGGGTGTTCACCGCTGGGTTTTGACTATGGGTCAAATGCATCCAAGTTCCTCGGAGCCATCTTTCTTTTGGGGGGGCTATCTGAAATGTGAGCCGCATCCTCGAGACCCGGCGAGGCCGATGGACGTTATGCGACCATCCCAACCTTAATACTGTGGATGGACATAATCCATTTGGCACCATTTGGAAACCATGGTTGAAGCCATTGTTTGTTGGTATTTACATGGGAATCATCATTCCAGGGTTTCTGAAGTGGTGCAGGATTTCGTCCATCCACGGTAGGTGCGGTCTTCCGGCCTTTGAATTCGCTTCATTGGTTTGGGTGCACCATTTGCTGGGCAGGGGAGACCCCAACACATGCTCACAGAAACGCAGGCAGGCCAGGCGAGGGTCACCAAACCACACTTTCGGCAGGTCCCTTCCACGCAGCGACCAGTGGCGAGCGAACCTCGGCGTTAAACCCCAACGGCTGAGATGATTTTTGGGGCACGCCGTAGTCCTGCATTTTTGTTTTTAACAGCGGCTTAAGCTTGTCGGGGGTACTAACGCAGGCCCCAAGATTCATAGCACAGACGTTAGTTGTATCTTCGCTTGGAGAAGGCTTGGACAAGTGTTAAATCGGCCCCCTCTTCTGGCCTCGGTTTTCTGCACAGAGCCCATCAGAGAACCCTAAACATGTGCAAAGACATCCTGTCAGTTGAATCCCCTTCGCACAGAAGATAGTAAACACCCCCACGTACACCCTCCCAAGTCCAATCCCCATTCGCACAAATGATAGTAACCCTCGCGGACACCCCATCAAGTTGAATCCTCTTCAGGCAGATGTTACTCGGTCAAGCGCATTCCGTCATCTTGAATCCCCGTTACGCAACGAATAGTAAGTTTGATCACGGGCACCATGTCAAGTTGAATCCCTGCAGAAGATAATTATCTCGTTCAAGGGTTTTCCGTCAGTTTGAATCCCGTTGCGCAAATTAGAATAAGCTTGTTTAAGGACATTCTGTCAGTTTGAATTCCTTTTTTTGCGCAGATGGTCGCAAGTATTTGGTTCAAGAACATTCTGTAATTCCCGTTGCGCAGCTGATCACAATGATCTCGTTCAGCATTCGGTCAGTTTCAGTTCTTTTTTTTTGCGTAAATGACACAAGTTCAATGAGAATGCATTGGATTCCTGCCGCCCCAAGGCGAGATGAACGAGTTTTTAAGTTTCAACTCTTCGAACACATTATCAAAGTAGCTGGAGCCTCAAACTGCCCATAAAAGGGGGCAAAGCCGATTTTTTATAAGGGGATTTTGAGGGTCCGGGTAGGTCATTTCTCCTTAAGGTGAAATGCAAGACGACACTGCCTGCAACGTCTCAAGTGTGCAGTTGTTTTCCCTTTTCATAATTTTCCTTGAATTTGGATTGGGCACTTTTTTTGGATCGAGGACGCTTTTCTGAAATATGAGGGTGCTTACCAGCCCTCGCCGGGGCTCGTGCTTCGTGCTTGCATTGCTTGTGGCTTCATCGTTGGATTGCTTCCCATCTACACAGATTGGCAGAGCATTTTCTTTAGCAGCTTTTTGGCAAGCCTAACTTTGCTCAACGAATTGCGTCAGCGCATCAGCAGAACTACATTCCAGAAGCGCAATCTTTGGCCACTTGCTCGTGAAATTGCACCCAAACAACGGCAGAAACTGCCAAAACAAAGGGGGAAGTTGCCGGAACACAGGCGGAAGTTGCCGGAAAAAGGCGGAACTTGCTAGAACAACTAAATTAAAAGACATGCTGCAAAACGGTGCTGGCTGACCTTCGCGCCAGCTTTCTCAATCCGAATCGCCCCCCCTTGAGCTTGTAGTGCTGGCCTCGAGGGTATTCAGACGGCGCTCTGGTGGAAACTAACCAACGGCGAAATTCGAAGAACAAAGGTCCTCAATTGTTAAGGAAAGGGTTGAGGCAATGTGTCAGCGTGGCATTGCGAAGGCGTTTTCTGAAAACAATTGCGCTTTTGACGAGCAATGCCAACATCGTGTGCGTTTTCTCTCGAAGGCGTTTTGGTCTGCATAGATGGTCCAGGTGAAGCCCAGAGGGTCCAAGCACCTTCGGGACCGGGGCCCCTTTTTACCACCCAAAAGCCATCCTCATGAGGTACCAAGGGACCCTCTGGGAAGAGACCACAGGACATTTGACTGATTGCCAAACCGCATCTTTTTCTCGCGACCGCGTTGTGCGATTTCGACTTCGGCTCCGGCCCGCGGGTCGGCAGGTCTTGCGTGAAGTGGGCCGGATGGGAACATCTTGAACAGGGCTCCGAAAAAAGATCGCCATTTTGCTTGCCCATTTGAAACATGGCTGGCTTTTTCAACACCAAAATAAAGCAATGGGAACCAGTTACAAGTTGCAATGTTCGATCGGTGTTTTTCATGCATCCGGATCCCTGTTCAACCATCCAATGGGACCCACCCCAGCGCCACGCAGATTTAACAAAAAACGAGCGAAGATCAACCTTTGTTTTGACCGAATGGGCGCTCAGATGGTCGCCTTGATTGAAACCTGGGGTTTAGGGCTGCTTTCTGTGCCAGAAAATCCCCAAAACTTCCATTTGCTCAGTCATGTGTTATTTTCTTTATTGGTTTTCAGGAATCTATCACTGCCTGTCTCCATGACCCTTAAACAACTGGGTCATTACCTTAAATGGTTGGTTCGACGAACTTCCTGGAGGAGTTTTGTGCAAGCCCACAGATCGGGTTGAGGTTGGGCGATTTGTTCTATGACTTTATGCAGCTGGAAAACAACCTGGACCCCCAGGGGCCTCCTCTTTCCAGCCATACCACCTTTTTAGGTGTCATTTCGGCAGAAACGGATCGCCAGTTGCTGCTTTAATCCATCCACTTTACCCCATCGCCAGTTGCAGCCTCTTTCGAGGTTGGTCGGAGTTGTCCCTTGGACTTCACATGGAAGGAACGCCTACGTCTAGTGGCCCAAAACCCCCGCGGCCGAAAGCGGCCAGAGCCTGGCTTTCGGCCGAAGAAATGGCGGTGGTCAAAACCGGTCAAAGGGATCCCATTTTGGGGTACCTGGGGTCATGGAGACTCTAGGTGAATTCACCACCCATTTTAGAACCGGTTTTAGTGGTTGGACTGAATCGGATGTTCACTGGGGGCTAACCGATTTGGACCGATGTTGAGCCATGGCCAAATGAGCTCAGGATGTTGCGTGCATCGTGCGGTACCGTGGCCCGCGCCTTTGCATGGTGCTGCTGGGTCGGCCCGGCGAGGTTCGCACCCGGCGCCCGAGAAAAGCGACAGGAGGCCCCCCTTTTTCCGCCAGGGAAGCATGGAACAACGACTAGGTCCCCCAGCTAGGTGCCCTTCTTTACCGTTTCTTTTGTGGGGGAGGGTTCCCCTACTAAAATAGACAAAACGGAAAAAATGGGTGCCCTTATTCTGACCTCTCTACTGGAGGACCTAGATGAGGTGCCTGAATCCTCAAACTGCCCAGAAAGGGAACTCACCATATATTGTTAGGCCAATATCCCAGTTTCCAGGGAATTGGAGGTTTCAGGTAGATGTTGCCTTTTTGGGACGCTTGTGAAAAAGCCATAGAGCCATGGGTTGAGTGACACGGAAGATGGCAGCCAGGGCGCTGATGTGTCCCCTATATTGATTCTCGCTGTGAGCACGGAAGAGCCTTCGAACGCCAAACAGGGAGGTCTGCGCTGGAAGGGCTTGAGACTTCCAAAACGTTTTCGGGGTGTGTCCTTAAGAGCCATAGGTGTCCTGTTTAGGTTAGTTTGATTAGAAATGGATGGGTTGCACTGGTTTAAATTGGTGTTATACCCGATGTTCCAGGGAAACCCATCAGTTTCCCAAAAGGACGCCTACCCCCTACTCCAAATACCCACTTTTTCCAGGGTTTCAAGGTAAACCCCTCCCTTTTTAGTAGAGGGTCGACATGATACTGTCAAAAAAGTGGGTATTTGGAGTCGGGGGTATGTTGACTTGACTGCGATTGGGTTGGATCTTTAGACTTTAACGTTTGGGGAAATCAAGGGGTTTTTCACTAAACCCCCAAGAAGTTAGACATTTTGCAGGGGGGTCAACAGCAACCAAGTTAAGAGGGCTCTTCACACGCCGCTTTTGAAGCAGAACGAGAGCCAGGGCCCAAACCGCGCCTCGCGTACCGCGTGCCAGGACTGCTCGCGATTCTGGTGGTCTCCCAGCGACC